TTCAGTAGAAGCTGCTGGGAGTCCCAGCAGCTTCTACTGAAGCCAGTCCCCAACTCCGGGGACTTCCGGCCGGGTACTCCGGGTGGCAGTATACGCCGTGAAGTTGTTTGCGGCCTGCCAGTAAACCCAAAGCAGAAGAAGACGAAGTGACGTCAGCGGCTCATTTGCGTAATCTTCCCTCAGGGAAAAGTACTCCGGTGTGAACGCGATCTGTACTAAATGCCCTGGGGCACTGAATACGGCAAAGTACTTGGTGTGAACGCGCCTATTGACTGAGCCTCCGTACAGTAAGTGATGGCAAACCTGCCTTGGTATACAGTGTAGAGTGATGTGTAAGTGATGTACAGTGATGTGTAAGCTCTTATCTGCTGTAACAATTGTTATGACCGGCTCGTAGGCCACAACGGAAAGACAAAGAGATGCACACGAGTTTCCAAAATCCACGGCACATTTATTGTGGTTGTTCATTAAATGCAGAGATGGATGGACGAGGGGAGAGGATCGCTGTGTTAGTCCTCCTGCAGCCGCCTTGGAGAGAGTGAGGACCGCCGTGTGACTCCGGGCAGCTGGGCTTAATGGCACCTCGGCTCCGGCCAGGTGTCCGTGATCGCGCTGATTGGCCTCTTCAGCTCCACCCCATCATAAGACCTTCAAACACACCTGCACACAGGCTCAGGGGCCGTCACACAATGTAAATGTATCCCCTGTGGGACTAATAAAGGGATTCTGATTCTGATTCTGATCGCAAAAACCAAGTCAATACTATGCTGCGTTCATGGAGCTACGTGGAAGTGGGGAAGGACAACGCTTGATTGCGGATACGTAATTTCACATTCTAGCACAGTTTATTGCTCTTATACCTTGATTGTTGCCAACTACGATGCTCAACAGCTCGCTTAACGGAACTTTGACGCTGGTATCAGTTTTGTTTACCACCAATCACGGGAGTATTGTGTATAGAAAGTGTTGAGTTATATTTCTCGCGCTACCTAACATCCATGAAGGCAACATGACAGAGGGAGGCCTGCCACTCAGGATGCCAAACTACTCTTTGGTAAGCCCCGCCCCCCAAGCAACATCAGGGCCAAAAGTTTGAAAGCGAAAAAAAAAGATCTGAAAGCGAGAAAAAAAAGATCTGAAAGTGAAAAACGATCTGAAGGTGAAAAGCAATGTGAAACCTGAAAAAACAAGATTTGAAACTGAAAAAATTATTGTTTTGAATCTGAAAACGTAAAATCTGCAACTGAAAAAAAAATAAGGATTAAAATATCAAAATATGTAAAGAAGTGAAATCTGAAAATAAATATTTTATTTTAAAAATTGCTGAACTGAATCAATCAGTATATGAAGTGATATGAGTATGAGCATAAAGAGTACTTTTACTTTTGGTACTTTAAAGGTGGGATAGTAGGTAATTTTGGAGAGACCAGCTCGAGTGTGCTAGAATTTGAAAATACACAACCGGAGAAAATCTGCCACTTCCTTATAGAGCCCCTCCTCCAACACACACGAACGCGCACATGACCAATGAGGGCACGAGATAAGTTTGTGCACAGATGGAAGGCTGACAGGCAGGTAGGCCATCCAGTTATTTTAGCCGGGCCGGCTAAAATGATTGGTCGTGCTTTTTACAGTACTACGGCTTCCACAGATGACATTTTTTTATGGATCTTTTGTCAAAGCACTTAAGATATTCATTGCTATCGGGATGTTAAGAGCAATTAAAAAAAAACACGTTCCTTAAAGAAGTGTTTCCAAACGCCGGGGTCAGCACTAGGGCTGAACGATTAATTAATCGCGATTTGAAATGATGCGATTTGTTTTAACATTTTTATTTTTAAAACTTTTTTTTTTACATTTTTTGTTCTTGTGTGTCAGTCATCCACACCAATCAGAAGCGCTGTGCTCCACATGTACCAGCCATTGTTAACCAATCAGAAGTGGCCCATGATAGAAGGTGATAGACAGATTGATCCAATCACCTGCCAAGTATTTTTGAAAGTGCCTTTCCAAATGGCTTCCAATGGAGCTTTCCTAGATGGTTTGGTGAAACAAACCATCTGAGTCAGGTTAGTGATGCTCCATCACATGTTTCTATTACAGGGTGAATCTTAAACTGAAGCTTGACTTTAAAGCAACCCAACGGAAGTTTCATGTAAGTTTAGTTATTTCACTCGTAGCTCGGGCTGCGGGTGGGCTAGAGACGGGAGCATGTTGATGCGACCTTCCTAGCCGGAGATATGGTCGCATTTTACAATGAACTTCCGTTGGGTCGCTTAAAAACAAATATCGCAAATGGAATCGCAATCGCAATATTTGTCAGAAAAATCGCAATTAGATTTTTTCCCCAAAATCGTGCAGCCCTAGTCAGCACTCCTATGCAATAATGTGTTACATTTTAATATTGTTCTTGATGTGAGCAGAATCTGACAACCTTTACATGATATCTGATGAAGATGTATTCTCTGTCAGATGAATACAAAAATGGTGTCTTTAAATTATAGTAGAATTAAAGTTACACACAATGCATAAACTGAAGCAAAGTACCAGCACCTAATAGCCGCGTTCACACCGGAGTACTTTCACCGTACTTTTCGCGTTTTAGTTCCGTGAGTACCCCTTATGTCGCGTTCACACCAAAAATCGTACTTAATCTCGGGTACTTTTACCCCCATTTTTAGAGCCAGCTCAGAGAGCGTACTTTTCTGTGGGTGAAAAGAGCTCCAAAAGTGCCCCAGTGCTGATTGGCTGGGCGAATTGCAAACCACGCCCGTACAACTCTGAAAATGTTGTGTGAAGACGCCATTGTTTTTCCTCGCTACAAAAACACAACGCTCCGTGCGTTGTGTTTGTTTTTGAAAGCAGTTATGGCAAGCATCAAGAAATGATGAGGAGGTGTCGGCGCTTCTGGAGATCTACGCAGAGGACGCGACCCAGGGAATGCACTGAAGCCAGTTCAGTAGCTTTCACTCGACCTGGGAATATGCACAGCCCCACGGCTAAAAATAAAGAAACTCAGGCAGGACTACAAACGGCGGATTCAGTGGCCAACGATGACGACCACGACGAAGGTAAAATCAACTACATGCACTGGGGTTTTAATCTGCACAATAATGGTCTCAGATGTACTTTTATTTGCTCAGTAGATCAAGCTAGCCATGCTAGCCATAATAGGCTAACACCGGCCCCGAGCACACAGTACACACACACTGTAACTTTGTCTTGAAAGAACGTTACGCATCGAACTGATGTTCACAATCATGTTTATTTCATAATATTCATCATATTTTATGTTTAACTTGCCTCAACAACATTAAACAAAGTTCAAGCATACATGAAGCGCTCTTCAAAAAGGAACAATCCTCCGTGTTTGAACCTCTTAAATCGCTGCATAGCCGATTTATTTGGACTGGATTATCCCAGAGGGTCTAAACATTCTTTATAACACAGTTTCAGATTTGTGAAACCTTAATTCTATTTGTGAAAATACAAAAAACACATTCCTAGTATGTTGTAAAACTACATGGCGACTAAACTTGTATATTGTATATTGCTTATTTTCCCCTCTTAGGAAAGCGGACACGGGATGCGAATTTCTTTGACACCGCCCAGGCGTTGGAGGACCGGCGTGCCGTGGTGAATGAGTCGCTGCGTGGAGATCAGATGGTGCTGTTCACCAAGGCCCAGGAAACGGAGGACAAGATGCTCACCTCGATGGAGCGCCAGGCAGAAGTGTTCAAGCAGCAGATGGAGCGCCAGCAGCACCAGGATGAAGTGTGGGCGCTGCGCCATGAGGAAGCGTCGGCGCAGCGGCAGGATGAGCGACAAACTGCATTTAATAACAGTTTATTTGGTATAGTTTTTGTAAATACTGACACACGACACACAACGTTGCACTAAGGTGTGCATGCTGCTGAGAATATCCCTACACCTGGGACAGTTTATTTTATATTGTTATTACTGTTATGACTTTATTTTATATATAATGTTTACTGACATGTACAACTGACACTTTATTTACATTTAAAATTATTCTATTTAATGTTATGTCTTGAGAGTGCAATAAAGAAAACCGACATGGCGATTAAGCTTATTTCTCCTGACACTTTATCTTTTGTGACCTGTGTAGCATCCTATACATCACATGTAAGTGATTATTCTGATACCATCATGTTTCATCGGTTATAAACTGGCAAAGCTTTATTTGTCATTTATTTATCATCAATGTTGCAACCTTGTGGGGGAATGGCAGGGGCACATACACAAATATGACAATTTATATAATTTTAAATATTATTTGACCTAAACTTTTAATTCCCCCCCCATTTCACACAACACAACATGGAGTCCACTATGGGCCAAAACTAACATGTATGTTTGCATAGTGTTTATGGCAGACGGATGCAGTGGGTCTCAGGAAGATATATAATAAAGGTGGGTTTGCTGCTGAGACTCCCTACACCTGGGAGTTTATTTTATATTGTTATTACTGTTATTATATAGTACAACTGACACTTTATTTTATATTGACAATGTTTACTGACATGTACAACTGACACTTTAGTTACATTTAAAATATTTCTATTTAATGTTATGTCTTGAGAGTGCAATAAAGAAAACCGACATGGCGATTAAACAGATCCTGTATCAGTTTTTCTTCTTCTCTTGTTTTGTAGCGGGTTGCAAACAACTTTAAGGTGCTTACCGCCACCTACTGTACTTGTAATCTTCCCTCAGGGAAAAGTACTCCGGTGTGAACGCAATCTGTACTAAGTACCCTGGGGTTAAAAGCGCCAGGGCTCTTAGTGCCGGAACTAAGTACAGGAAAGTACTTGGTGTGAACGCGGCTATTGAAGTATATTATAGGCTATTGAGTTAATTTCAACAACATATTCAAGTACATATTGAAGGACATCTTCAGTAAATCCTGTGCTGCTTTAATTTGAATCACAGTGTCAGATCATCCAGCTTTGTGCTGACATGGTTTGTTTGTCCTCCAGCTGGTGGAGAGTGAGGAGCAGTTTCAGCAGAGTTTAGCAGACGGTCTGGTGGAGGAGACCGCCGTCACTGTGAATGTGTGAGTACTACTCAGCTCAGCTGTCCGTCACAGGAAATTGTCAGTAATCACACAACTGGAACCACCATCTTCTAACCCTTATTATTATTTTTAATTTTTTGTATATGCTAATGTTTTGTTTATTGTCAATGCATTGTATTTTTTAAACCCTCATACACCCGACCTGAATTGTCTGATGACATGAACACATCATAAACATCTGTATGATTTAGCCTCTGTTTGCTACATAAAGGTGAACATATTCATATTTTACCCATCAGGAGACTAGCTAAGACTCTGCCTCTGCCCAAGGAGAATGAGGATAGCCGACCGAGGATAGACCTGGTCGTGTTTATCATCAACCTGACCTCAGAGCTCAGGTAACTTTCACATCCTCCCATATTTATATTTGAATCACCTCAACACAGAGGAAAAATATCTTGTACCATTATGTTTTCAAGGTTAAAGGTCTTTAATTAAATACAATAAAACAGTCCAATATGTGTTTGTTGTCTCCTGGCGTCCCAAACCAGACAAAGAACTGGCTAAGCATTAATTAATCACGATCAAAACATACAATCAAAGTGAATATGAAAAGCTAAGAAAGTAATCAAAGTGGTAACACACATTGATTGCTGTGGATACTTAATTTCTCTCAATGGCATTTAGGCGCTGTTTACAGGGGAACGAAACGGGTTGTATCTGCTACTTTTCTCTTTCGTATAGCCCGTTCGTTCACACGAGGCCGTAACGAAACCGTGGAAACGGACCCCTCAAACGATAACGGGTCCTAAGGTGGATAGATCTGTGGACGGAACACTCTGGGGGGTCAAACACCCTATACGCCATATCCCCGCCTCTCCCCACCTCTCCTGCTCACCCCTGTGTCACCCGCGTCATTGCTGATGTGTTTCGCCAACAACAACAACAACCGAGTGTTTCGAGCCAGGTCCCGGTATCTCGCAGGACAGTGCACCCAGCAGGAGCCTCCAGCTAGATTTGATCGATATGGACATAAACGCGAGTGAAGTCTTATCGGACAGGAGAGAGAGATCAGCTGCTGTGGAGAAACTCCGGCCGCACGGTCCCCTCGTCCCTTGGAAGAGGCGGAGAGGTGGGTGTTTTTCATCTGCTGGTGGACTACCGGGGAGAAATACAGCAGGAGCACACGCTTGCCTCGGGGAGGGAGAAAAAGAGATACAGCCAGAGCCCTGCCTCTCCCCACCTCTGCTGCTAAATCCACCGTGGAGAATAAACAGTAGGGCAACCATGCTCGGGAAGTCTTCTTCGCTGCTTTTGGTGTATTTTGTGGCAGAAGTACAGCGCCACTTACACGCCCGGCATATGTACTACAGCGTCTCCAGCGCTTTCGAGCGGTCTCGTGTGAACGGACACGTTAATTGAGCCGATTGCGTGTGAACGGAATACTTTCGGTTCATTTTCGTTTGCGTTCCCGTGTAAATGGGGCCTTAAAGTCATTTCAATGATAAGATAAAGGCTTCAATTGTCTGTAAATGTACCTTGAAAAGGCTGAATTTTACTTGTTAAAAGCTGTATGAACCCTGAATAGATGATATAATAACTAATAGTTTTACATGTATGATTTTGTCTTCTTATAGTTTCCAGTCAGCAGAAGCTTCCCTGAAATATTTGGACCCTGGATATTTCCTTGGAAAAGTCTGCTTCATGGTTACTAATGGTACGTCGACGGGTTCAGTTCTTAGTAGAAGTGTTTTCCTACTCTCTTCAGCTTCTTGAATCAAATTTAAGTTGGGCAAAACAGGAACAAAATATTTTAACATGAAGCATACATCTATCACTATTATATGTACCTCATGCCTCCCTGGTTGTTTCTTAAACGAGCGGCCTTTCTGTGTCTCAGTCTGACCCGCCGCTCTCTCATGAATCTGTCTCTTGTAGCTCGTAACGCGTCGGTGCCGACCGAGCGGCTGGACGCTGTCAGGAAGCTGGCTGCAGCGCTGCACTGCCCCTTGCTGTTTGCAGAGGATCAGGTTTGAATCAACCTTTCACACAAAGATTTATGATGGTTTAAACCAGGGGTGGGGAACCTCCGGCCCCCGGGCCGTATACGGCCCGCGAGACCATTTGGTACGGCCCTCGAGGTAATTTATAAACACACGCAAAAAAGAAAAAAATTAAAGAAATCTAGACCGCAAAAAAATTAAACAAGCGAGTGCCTGTTTTTCCTGTCAGGGTCCTTGAACACAACACGAGCCTAACCCCTAGATTCCACCGGGTCCGTCTGCGGCGCGTTACGGGCGCGTTACGGCTGCGCCGCGGTGCTCACGGCGACCGCGGCCACTCTAGTCAATGGGTGTTATTCCACCACACGCGGCGCGTTACGGCTCAGAAGCGTCCCAGAAGCGTCCCAGAAGCGGCTCGGTGCAGGGCTCCTCTAAAATTAGGATCGAATCCTATTTTTGTCGCGGCGCAGCCGTAACGTAAGGTCAGGCAGGCAAGAAGTGGAACTTTCAGAGCATATATAGCATATATATATAGATATATACACACACACAAACTAATTTTGCAGACCCTATCCCTCCGTAGTCTTTCAAGTAGGAGGAGAAATGCCAGCGTTCTCCTCCGGTTTACAGGCACTGTGTAAATTATATATATAGAATAATTATGATGATGAATGCATTTTTTACCACTAAAATACAGCAACACATCTTTGATTCATGTCGTTTATAACTGGAATATTACAGTTATTATTAACTTTGTCTGTACAAAGTAGCCTGTCCAGGAAATATGCCCAAATCAACAAAAACTGCGAGCCGGCAGGCAAGACGCTCCGCTTCTGAAATGCTTCTGAAACGCGCCTGGTAGGGTATGACGCCGGAGGAGGCCGGACCAAAACCGCAACGCGGCGCAGACGGACCCGGTGGAATCTAGGGGTAACGTGTCATCACGTGGTATATGTCTCGTCTGACAGACAGGGGTGCAGTTCTGACGGAGAGCACCAGAACGCCGCTCCATTCCGGTGTTGTGTCAAATTATGCACCCCCATCATGAAATGCCCCCCTTGTCACGGGAACGCGCATTTCTAAATGACACGTTTACACCTTAAAACGATGTTTAAAACGAAAAGTAAACGTTCAGGGTTTTTATTAATGGTAATTTTCAGACTGTGAGTTGTTTAGTGGTAGCTCATATAGTCTTTATTCTTGTGGTTAAACTTTTCGCTCCGTATTTGATGGTAGTGGTGTCGAAATTCATTCGTCACTTCCTTTCCAGTTTTTTTTTTTTTGTAATCTTTTTTTTTTCTTCTTATTATTGTTAGGTCTTGTCTGTGTACACGTGCTTTACAATGTATTGTTTAATTTTACATATTTGTCATATAATAATCAAAATATATGTTTACAAATGTTACATAGTCTTTGTCAGCATATTTTTGCCACGTTATGCACCCCTTGCTATTTTACATAATAAAAGTGTCACATTCATGAAACTTGCTCCATTCATTGGTACTAGTCCTACAACTATACCCTAAAAAATGCTTGAGGGTGGGATTAATACAAACATCTTTTTGGGTGGGGTGCATTTTATGACAGGCCTGGTTATCACAATATGCCCCCCCCTTGCTATCTTACAAAATAAAAGTGTCACATTCATGAAACTTGCTCCATTCATTGGTACTAGTCCTACAACTATACCCTAAAAAATGCTTGAGGGTGGGATTAAGGCGCCGTTTACACGAGGAGAAAACTGCTTGGATCTGCATAGTTTCTCTTGCGTATAGCCCTATTATTTACACGAGGCCGATAGAAACTGACCCCACAAACGATAACGGGTCCCAAGGTGGATAGATTTGCAAACGAAACGCTCTGGGGGGTCAACCGAGTCCGTGTAATCACCTCTATACGAATATTTCCTGAAAAAATTGCGATAGCCCCACCTCTCCCCACCTCTCCTGCTCACTGCTGTAGCAACTATCAAAAATAGCTGTGTTAATTAAACGCACAAGGGGTTCTTGAATGAAATAATATTATAAAAGGCAAACCAGAATAGTTAACGCCCAATATACTCCTTAAACAAAATAAACAGAGTCAGATTTCATGCATTGATCCATTATATTGACAAAGGAGGATCTCACCCGGTGTTTGTAGAGAATATCTCTCTTTTCTGAGCGGGTCCTCTCCACGGAGACGTCGGTCGATGCAATATCCACAGATTCGGTTTCTTTCAGTTAACTTCCCCGTTGCATTTATCCATATGCTGAGGAAATGACTATATCCCGCTGAATACCAGCAATCGCCACACACTTCCTCCTGTCAGTAGCTACTGCTAGTGCTACTGCTACTGACCATGCTACAGATATTAGTGCAAAAATATACAGCTCCTCTACCACAACCATCAGCAACAAGTGGACATGGAGAATTACATGAACTACATGTTGCTAAATACACCGCGGGCCATGAACAGAAGGGTAGCCATGGCAACATTGCGGCGGGGGCTGCTGGGCTGCTCTTCTTCGCTACTTTTGGTGTATTTTGGCGGAAGTTACAGCGCCACTTACAGTCCCGGCATATGTACTACAGCGTTTCCAGCGGCCTCGTTTGAACAGACACGTTAAATGAAACTAATGCATGTGAACGGAAGACTTTTTTGAATACGCATACTGTGCATAAACGCAAACGGTCCCGTGTGAGCGGGGCCTAATACAAACATATTTTTGGGTGGGGTGCATTTTATGACAGGCCTGGTTATCACAATATGCCCCCCCTTGCTATCTTACAAAATAAAAGTGTCACATTCATGAAACTTGCTCCATTTATTGGTACTAGTCCTACAACTATACCCTAAAAAATGCTTGAGGGTGGGATTAATACAAACATCTTTTTGGGTGGGGTGCATTTTATGACAGGCCTGGTTATCACAATATGCCCCCCCTTGCTATCTTACAAAATAAAAGTGTCATATACAAATATATGCTGACAAAGACTATGTAACATTTGTAAACATATATTTTAATTATTATATGACAAATATGTAAAATTAAACAATACATTTTAAAGCACGTGTATACAGACAGGACGTAACAATAATAAAAAATAAAAAGATTTAAAAAAACTGAAAAGGAAGTGACGAATGAATTTCGACACCACTACCATCAAATACGGAGCGAAAAGTTTAACCACAATAATCAAGACTATATGAGCTACCACTAAACAACTCACAGTCTGAAAATTACCATTAATAAAAACCCTGAACGTTTACTTTTTGTTTTAAACATCGTTTTAAGGTGTAAACGTGTCATTTAGAAATGCGCGTTCCCGTGACAAGGGGGGCTTTTCATGATGGGGGTGCATAATTTGACACAACACCGGCACTTCCAAAAATTGCAGTACCCATAAGGAGCCGTACACATGCCGCAGTTTTTGCGTGGCTGTGTCTTTAGTTGTAAGCCCAGTGGCGATCTGTTCATCTGTCATACTGATCATACAGTCAATACCTTTGTTGTTATTAGCATCTGGTTAGCTAGCTATGCTAACGAATATAAGAAGCTTTTTCTCCAACCAGTGAGGTAAAGGCACATCTTTATATGATCATTATAGTTATAAAAAAATAAGAGAATAAAGTAAACAGGTATAAAATACTGTATGACGGTAAAAAAAAGTTGTTATTAGTTGTTACTAAAGAAGACAAAGTTATTTTATTAGGGCCGCAAATTAGGAATATCGTCTTCATCTATTAATCTGGATATCATTTTCTAGATTCATTAAAAAAAAAGTATTGAGAGATGGCTGTTATCATTTCCCCCAGATATTTCGTTTGTCTTAGCAACAGTTTAAAACCCCATGATATTCAGTTTACTATCATATACAACAAAGAAAAGCATCCAATCCTTACTTTAGAGAAACTATACCCAGCTACATGTTTCCATGACAACAGTATGACTGCATGCTATAAAAAAAAACGTAGTGTTTCTTTAAAACTCCTGTGTGATGCTTTCCCCTCCAGACACCAGACGGAGTGACCAACGCTACAAAGCGGCTGCTGAGCATCCTGAAGGTGTCGGCTGGTCTTGTTCCCATGGCTACCGCTCTCTACCTGTCCAGCCTGACGAGCTGCACCGTCCCCCCCGACATCGACCAGCCAAGCTTCAATTAGCTCCTGTTTTCTCTGGAGGGGTGTCTCTCACTTTTTTGTTTGTTTCATGTATATTTACACATCAGCATGGTTTTTTTAACCCGTTTAATTTGACATTCAATGTTTCTGCTTTGGCTTATAGCTGTGGCAGCTTCTTCTCCCTGCAATGTTTCCCTAAAGTGCAGATCATCACAGCTAAATCTTACGATTCATGCTGGCACACATTACTGGGACATTTATATAAAACAAAACCATTGTTAATGTGATTAACACGTGAATGTATTACTGAGACTGTCAAAATGCATCTCTGCAGCCAATGAGCATTTTAACTTAGACTGTGTTGAACATTAACTATTTCAATCAATACAGTGACCTTTTTAACTTCAAACGGTTATCTAATGGACTGGCTAATAGCTACAATAAAAGCCTTTTTCTTTTTTGTTTAATGGATCTGTTAAAGACTGCACACTCATAGTACTGGCACACTTTTTGGCAGATTACATCTCTTCTCTACAGTTTCCTGGCTGTGCTCCACTGTCATTTCAGCACGGCTCCTCTTACCTTCAACCTAAACAGAGATCTAATCAGACAGATTGTAAACACCTGTGTGTGTGCCGGGCTTTATATCCCACTGTGCTGTGGGATCACCAAATATCAGTCTGCTGGTTTTTGTATATCAAGGCCAATGAGAACATGATGCTGCACAGCTTCATTGAAAGCATCGTATATATAATTATAATACAGTACAGTATGCTTTTTATGTACATATCCTGTAATATATGTGTTTTTTATGGTTTGTAGGCTTTTGAGCCTAAATCTATTGCTTCCATCAGGTAAATAGTGAAAATACAAGCAATTAAAGATCTGTTTGAACAGTAAAAGACTAGTATTTATCTTTATTATTCTGACATTTGGTTTGAAAAGTGCTTTTAGAGCAGCTTTTTGTTTTTTAAAAAACTTTTCTTGCTCTTCACTTTCTTCAGACTCATATTCAAGAACAGGACAAACCCCATTCGATAATTATTCTATTTGAAATGTAAATATTGTTTTATTACACTCTTGGATTGTAATTTCAATCTTAACTATACTACATTTGGTGGCTCAAAAAACGAAATGTTAATGATATAAAAAAAATGATATTTAAATATAATATCACTTTCCATCATACATGTTAGCAGCCCACGGGGGAGGCAGCGGTGTCTCCCCCAGGGTGTGATGAAAGGCCCTGTGCCTGGTGTCACGTCCGCATGCATGCCCTAACGTGCAAACACACACACACACACGCTATTAATAGTTGGGTTATCATCGTGGCAATTATCTATCAAACAACAAAACATTGTTGTTGCATGAAGTCAGAAACTCTGAGGCACAAGGGGTCAGGATGTGAATGACAATGATAACCAAAATATGTTTCACCTTCTCCATCATAAATAGGCATTTGATTGGTCAACCAAAAGAAAAGAGGTCTGGTGTATACATTTGTAAGATAGTGGCTATTTTGTCAGTTGAAGTTGCAAGGAACAAAGGGAGACGTTTCAAATGCAGTTTGAAGTTTTGCTATCAAATTTGAGTGTGACAGTTTTAAGCATAACAGACTTTAAGCCAACCCTAACCCAGTGAATTATACGTTAACCATTTCACCTATGGGTTCAAACCATAGGTTCAAACACATTGCAGAGAGCTAATGATATGTTAATGAGCCATTTTTTGTTTTGTTGTTTTATTGCCTGTCCTTGTTTGTCTACCCTTCCCCAAATGTAAAGCGTCTTTGGGTTTAGAAAAGCGCTATAAAAATAAAATGTATTATTATTATTATTATAATGAGAGAATATTGTGTTGGGAACCATATAACAATAACAATGTTTTTTTATTTGTTTAGCATGTGTTTATCATGTTCACCATTTCATTTAAGTTTGTTAGCAGAAGCAACAGGGTCATACGTTGGGTCAGGTTTCTAAGAACTGAAAGATAATACTGTGTGTGAGGCTCTTTGGGGACATTGCTGTGTTAAAGTGCTTTTAAAATAAATATATATATATATATATTACGTGTGAGTTTCTGTCTGCATTTGTTTGTGAGAGCTTTTTGTGTGTTTCCACAAACTTGTTAGGAGGATGTTAAGAGATGTAGACTTGACCTTATCTACACTGTCACTGAGGCAGCAGGAGCTCAGTCTGTGGAGACTTGGTGTTGGAACAGGAGGTTCCCTGAACAGACCAAAGTAGAGAGTGTGGACTGGTTCTTAGAGTTCAACTCTTGAGCACTGCTGTGATTCCCTTTAGCAAGGCACGACCCCCTCATTACGCCCTAGTTGCTGTGCAAATGCTTCCCACAGCTCCTAGGACTAGGATGGGTTGAATGCAGAGGTAAAATGTCACTGTGTGCTGTGTACATGAACATGTGTGTGATAAACAAAGAGGGTTCCATTCAAATTCTCAGTTTCTTAGATGTTGGAGTGGCTTTCCCACTAACCAATTCATTTTTTTTTTAATTGAAATGGCTTTGCAACGACATGTTTTTCTCCCTTAATTTATTATTTTTGATGAGCACACTTAATTTTAACAGCACTGATTTATAACTCTATTACCTTGAATATTGAGGACACAGGAGGTGACTAATAAAACACATAAATCAAGTGTGTGTTTTTTAATATTCAGCAAAAGAATAAAACCTTGGATAGTGCCTGAAAAAAGGAGCAGAGAACTGTTTTGTGATAAGGGTTTATAGGTAGTCAAGGATCCTGCTGTAATGGATTTAATTTCATTGCAAACATTATTTAATTAGGCTTACAGAAGATCAGACCATTTTTATCATTTTTTTATTTTGCATGTGGTACATTTTCCTGTCTGTCTACGGCAAAACTTTGTGAATCTGATCTTCATTCAGTGAAGCCCAGCTCTTTGTAGTCGGCCTCCATGTCAGCGATGATGATGGCCATCACGTTCCTCAGGGCAGTCTGCCCGGCGGCATCCAGTCCCGCCTTCTCCTCCATGACTTTACCAATGACCTCTGCAATCAGCTGAATAAAAGAATCACAAAAAATGCTTTAAAATTAGGTTGGAGGAGGAGGACACAAAAAGTCGGAGGAAAGATCAAACCACAATGGACTAGATATGTTTGAACTTGCCCTCATGTCAATCAACCTCACCTTGAAGTTAATAATGGGGATCTTGTGCTTGGTGGCGTGGCTGCTGGACAGAGGTTTGAGGAGGGCAGAGTGGGCGCCTCTGGCCTTCAGCAGATCGCCCAGTTTATTCAGCACTGTGGCACCGTGGGCAGAAACACCTGCATCCCAGGCCAGGTCCCCATGGGCGATGCCGGCAAACTTGGGGAATAACTTCAGGGTTTCTGGGTGCTCTGTGAATAAACTGCGAGGAAATGGAAATGTGAGGGTTCACCTTAAATAACAGACACAACTGAGGACAAGGGGTTTAAATCACAAGTTTATCACAATATGATAATATATTTTATATTTATTCTTTGACATCAATAGAATATTTGTTGATATCACAAAGTCTGCTATGATACCCAGTTTAACAGATTGAGTTATGTTTATATCAACTATTAGACCCATTTAGATATAAAAACATATATATTCTTCTTTATACAAATAAAAGAAAATCTAATAAATTAAATACATTAAAAAAACAGCCTGTTTTACTTCAAAAGTCTTGTTTAATTCTAAATCTTAAAAATGATGATATGTATGGATTGTTGACTTATAAATTAATTTATATCAATCTATATTGATGTATCGTTTCACCCCTAATGAGGACACTGTCATGGCCTCACATTGGGAAATAAAACTGTTAAGGGAACTTTATGAAAAATAATGTGCCTTCATAAAAACATTTCTACAGCCCTGCAAACCTCCTGACCCAGAGGACAGATTCATCTAATCTGGTAGGAGACACTGACCGGGTCAACACCAGACTCCCGTGGGTTGCGTAGTCCGCCTCCACTGGACCCCAGCACTTCAGCACCATGTCAAAGTCAGCCATTATCTGAGGAGGTAATATAATATATAATAAAAGCACAGATTTGAGGAATAAAAAGCGGATTCAGTCACAGGAAGTAACATCAAAATCCAAGAAAAATAAAGGTCTCTGATCACATCAAGTTACACCGTTTGATTGTGTGCAGTCACTGCTGAACTCAAGTGTGATTAATTATTAGAAAGAGGCGTCTTCATCACCTCAGCTGCCCTCACTGAGTCTGCACTGTAACCTTGGTGAAGCCCTGCACTATTCATGTGAAGTGAAATCAGATGATGCTCTTGAAGCTGTTACATGGTTATACATACCTTTTTATTCCTTCAATATTAACCTTGGCACTTAAAAACTGCTTTATTTCTTATATTGTTTTGTATAAAAGTATTTTCCACAATGACATTTCTCTGTCCTTATATCCTATTATTCTAATTACATTTAAAACAATTAAAAAATATATCTCATACCTGGAGAGTAGTCAAATGTCCTGTGTGATGTACAAAATTCTTCTTGACCTGACTTCCCCCCTCAAAGCTGACCTTTTATACTCCCTTCACCGTCATATCACCAAATTATTCCAGACCTCCCATCCTCTCACCACACTTCAAATGTTCACAACACCTCCTAAGTTGATCTGGAACATTTTGATTCCAAGTAAATTATAGATAGATAGATATAGATAGATAGATAGATAGATAGATAGATATAGATAGATATAGATAGATATAGATATATAGATAGATAGATAGATAGATAGATAGATAGATAGATAGATAGATAGATAGATAGATAGATAGATAGATAGATAGATAGATAGATAGATAGATAGATAGATAGATAGATAGATATAGATAGATATAGATAGATAGATAGATAGATAGATATAGATAGATAGATAGATAGATAGATAGATAGATAGATAGATAGATAGATAGATAGATAGATAGATAGATAGATAGATAGATAGATATAGATAGATATAGATATATAGATAGATATAGATAGATAGATAGATAGATAGATAGATAGATAGATAGATAGATAGATAGATAGATAGATAGATAGATAGATAGATAGATAGATAGATAGATAGATAGATAGATAGATAGATAGATTATATATCAAATAATTTGATATCTCTTATTGTCTATTTTGTCTTTTGTTTATTGCTTTGTTTCTTATCTTTAAGTCTTACGTAATTGACATTGCTACATGATACATAAAAAAATGATTATATATATATAAAATAAAAATCTCAACCTGTCGTACAATGGACAGCTTCCCCCCCCCCCCATCTATGTATATACTCGCATTTTAGACTCTGTTACTAACTGTATATCTGTAGACTTGGTATGTCTTAAATATCCGGTTAGGATGTATTAGAACGAAATCTAAAATGAAAATTGTAAATAAGCCATCTGTATGTAAAAAACCACCTGTATGTAAATTGTAAATAAGCCATCTGTATGTCAAATATGTCTTATATGTCTTAAATGATATGATGAATTGGAAATGGGGGACCCTGATGTAAACAAGACGAAAGTCTTTCTCTGGTCTGCATCCCCTTAACAATTGTATGTTTTGAGCTGTACTGTACTGTACCCAATATACAAGCTGTTAATAAACTTTTCAATCAATCAATCAATACTTATCCCATTCATTAACAGATTCCTCAAACCTCGTTTACTGAGTTTTATTTAAAAAATGTACAATTCTCTGACGTGTTTCCTCTTCTTGTCCTTATTCATAATTTCACAATGTTTGTGTATTAACATTTGTTAACTTCATTTTATTTTTAAAAGATCTCTGTTTGTTATCTTGTGAGAGGTAAGCCCCTCCTCTTCTTATCGCTGATTGGTCAGATAGTTGCTCCATGTCTGTTTATCCAATAGCGTCTTCAAATCGTGTCATGTGGGTTTTCAACACCCGGAAAACACCGACAGTGACCGTCAAAAAGGCTGTAAAAGTATTTCAATTGTAAGATTTGTTTGTTTTATAGGTTTTACATCAGCTGTTTAGCGGTGGTATTTACCGACATGTTGCAGGCCTTAAAAGGCGTAAGACATCTCCATACCAATGCAATGAAACAAGCAGGTAACTATTAAGTGTGTGTAAGTGTGATGAATGGAGAAACATGAGTGTTTATTCCAAAACCAGGACAGCGTGTAACAGAAGAGAAAACAGTTAAATGAATCGTGTTTACATGTCAGTAGAATTGCAGAGGTTTTTTTTAGAGTTAAATTAGTGCATGTGTGTGAATGACAACTGTAATAACAATACAGGGCATGTATGTATGAGTGAACAGACATAGGGATAAGATAGGTATAGACATAATATTGGTATTTCCAACAGCAAAACAAGAATAACGAATAATGTGAAGACTAAATATATAAAGTGAACCATCAATAGACAAGACAAATAAATATTACATGTTCAAAAAGGAGCAGGAAAAACTGTACACGTATGGTCCTACCCCTTGACGTAACTTAACTTAGATAATTACCTTTAATTTTGTCAAGCCGTTTTTATTTTTGAACTGATTCATATTTATACTTTCTTTGAGATCTACACATTACCAATCCAGAGGTTAGTGACATTAGGCACAGAAATCTCTTAGTTTTGCTTGAGTGAGCGTACATTTCCATTTATATTCTTGGTGAGCAAAAACTAATTTAGTTGAACTGGGTCCAGAAAAGTTAACAGAAGAGTTTTCAGCAGTTCAAAGTTGAACTAAACCAGAGTTTTTAATGTGTCAGTTTCAGAGCTCTGTGTACCGGTGCCATGGGGGGAGATCAGAGGGAAAGTTTGGGGTCCTGATCATGGCCGTCCTGTGCTCTGCCTGCACGGCTGGGCTGACAACTGTGGCACATTCAACACCCTCATTCCCCATTTACCCAAAGGTAATTGTTGTTCATGCATAACTTATTTGCCACCAGCCGCCTTAATGTCCTTAAGTAAAGGTGTAACTAAAAATCTTGCAGTATGGGCTTTTAACCCTTAATTAATAAGAGACTCTCAATATACAATGTCATATTCACTGCCATTTAAAATGAAGGCTGATATAAAGAAGAAAGCACAGCTTTTATGGCTTTTTCTAGGTCATCTGTTCAATGTGTTTCCCTGTTTGAATATGGGAGAATCTCCCACATACTGCTTACAAAATACTAATGATATATCCAAAAATACGGCCTCAAATTTTCCGGCAGGCAGTTTCTTAATTTTAGACATTGATATAATTTCAGTGATGGATTTTACTATTCAAACTGCATTTAAAACATACATCTCTGTTTTTTCCTCTTTAATTTGACCTGGCAAAAGGGCCATTACAAATCAATTAACATTTTTCATATTTAATATTATTTACCTTAAGAGACACACATACCCTGGGAACATGGGGATCCCCTTGTGCGCAGCAGTTAGCCTGGGAGGCGTGTTGGCCTGTTGCCTCACAATAAGAAGCTCTAAGAAGAGGGATGACTAGAATTCAACTAGAACTGCCCCTCTTTCTTTTATTTGCTTTAACATGTACTGCTTGCCTCAGCTATATATTTAATTCAAAGTCAAATACAGATAAGAAGCCCCCTGGTTTGTCCCTCAGTATGACCAAAAACAGTCTTGACAATTGAGCTTGGTTTATTCAACTCTACTTTGAAAAGACTTCCCAGCTCATGCAGGTGTTTGATGATTACACGTTGCCTGAAGACAGTGTGTGTGCAGCTCCTCCTTGCAGCTGCTGTAACTCAGCTGTTAGAGCAGCTGCCTCTAAAATGAAGAGGATTTAACCCTTTTTCCTGGCCTACATGCATGTTCAAGATTGATTATACTACCAAGAAATTACAACCTTTCCTGGTTGATCGGGTCTTTCTATTGGTCTCTAAGGCGAAGCTATCCAACTGAAAATAGTATTGAGTGAAGGATATTTGGTTTGTTTAGTTTAAAATGTGTAATTGTTTCCTTAACGAGATAATGTGACAGCCTCTCGGTGAGTTATGCTTCTTCTGTGTGTCTCCTCTCAGAGTGCAGGTACGTGGCGGTGGAGCTGGCGGGTCACGGCCGGTCGTCACATCGTCCTGCTGGAGTTTCCTACTCTTTCCCCACCTATGTGATGGACGTACGCAGAGTCGTTGACGGTGAGTGAGTTACAGAACCTGCAGGACATGTTTAATTCAAATCCAATTTCAGCTTTCGTTCAACAAGCTACATCTCTGAAGGGATATAGTGCGGCCTGGGGCTTGGTGAAAATGTGTTAATATTGGCCATAGACTTTCAGTGGAGACATATTTTTATATATATGAGCAACATGTGAACCAAAAATACAGATTCGGAGCAAAATCTAATTATAAACATCATTATTTAGGGTTCTATTTTACACATTTCAAGAGCTTTGCCTGATTAATGTGCAACAGTTGAACACAGTTTATTGCATTAAACGTAAATTAAGAGCAGTTTACTCTTGAGCTTGTAAATAGTAATTATACAAGAATATCTACATGTCTTTTTAGCACATGAAAGAGAGGTTGATTTCTTCTGACTATGAGAATATTGTTATGTTATTAAACTAAATCACCCTGCCCTGGTGCATCTGTTTTGCCGTTTAGCCACAGTATTCTCGCTGTCTTTCGACTAAAAAGTCTCAGTGTTCTGTGATGAGATACTGAACCTGGTTGATGATCTGTGAAATTGCTCCCACAGCTCTGCAGTGGAGCAAGTTCTCCATCATAGGACACAGTATGGGTGAGAGCAGCTTTCCAGAAGCATTTGACCAATTAGAACGCTTGTGGTATTTCATATTTATATGTGCACTTTCTTTTTATTTCAGGTGGTAACATCGCTGGAATGGTAAGTGACATTTTAATGACAGAGCACTATTTATTGGGATACATCTCCTGGCTCTATAGAGTGTTTTGTCTTTACTGTGTGGCATCTATTGTGTTTTCCTGCAGTTCAGTGCACTCTATCCAGAGATGGTGGATGCTGTCGTACTGCTGGACTCGTATGGATTCTTTCCTACAGATCTGGTATTCACACAATCTACAGTTACTACAGTGATATCATCTGAGGTTTAGTTAAGGAAGAACAAAAATACATTGCACTTTAAAGTTGTGATGCAAAAAATCATTGCATTTCTTTACAAAACGCTTCATAACAATTTCATTAGTCCTTCCACATGTTGAGAATGTATTGTTTCTTGCTTACTTACTTACTAACTTACTTAAAAAGGTCTTTGAAAGTATAACATTTTATTTAGTAATCTATGCTGTATGAAGGAGGAGGCGCTCAGCTACACTGTTATAGGGCTCCTGTCATATAATCCTTTTTCAGGACCCTTGATTCAGGTTAAAACACTGTCAATTAATTCATAACAATGTCCAATCAATTCTACATTGGGACTAAATGAGAACAAATATACAGGTTCTTTGCAATTTAAGAAAAGTTTTACGTCACCAATGCATGTGCAATAGTTTTGTCCTTTGTGGTTAAGCATTCCTATAATATTGTTACCTTACCCAATATTTCAAAGACCTGTGCTGTGAAATCCACTCTCTAGAGTAGTTTGGAATGTCTTCCCTAATCATTTCTCTCTGTTTTCTTTCAGAAAGAGGTCTTTGAAGCGATGAGGCAGGGGATGGATCAGATGGTTGAGTTTGAAAAGAAACCAGAGGAGAAGAAGACAAGAGTTTACACTTATGAAAACGCCGTAGAGAGGTGTTACACTTTCCTTTTATGTTGTTTTAGGATTACTCCACACCAACTCATCCATGTGTTTTCTAAAAATGTGTTTTATTTATTTCAGGTTGCAGGCTGCAAACCCCACACTGTCTGAAAAGTCTGCACACATCCTCTTAGAGCGAGGTCTCGTTCAAGTGGAAGGAGGTACGTCTTTATCTCTTCTTCTCTGTTTTCGTGTTTGTTATAGATGCTCCTCACAGAATAAGTTCTCTCCCCAAATACTTTTATACTCTTATGCTATAAATAAAGTGTTTTTTTTTATCTTGCAGGTGTGGTGTTTACTCGAGACTTTCGTATTAATCTGGTAGGTTTTTGCTGAACTGCACAAAATCATCACTTTTCCTTTTTGTATCTACCACAGGTGTTGCATGCAGCCCATAAAATGCATGTACTGTGTTGTTCATTGTATTATTTTCTCTTTTTTTGTTCAGAAAAATACGGTGCGCATTACTGCAGAGCAGAGTCTAGAATTGCAGTCGATGATTAAAGCCCCTGTTCTAGTTGTTCTGTAAGTATTTCCTCCATTTCTCAATGCAATACCAATAAATTGTACCTAACTAAATATTCATGCAATCCTTTTCTTCTCTTTCGTCTTTGCCTTTCCAGAGCAGAGGACGGCTTTGAGAAATTATTTGTTGAACCAGATAAAAGGACATTTACATCAGCAATGCTGCAGGCCTATAGGGACAGAAATGTGAGTGTAATTTTACTTTGTGTTTGTGTGAGGTAGGTGCTCCTACATCGTGGTGTTTATTTTAAGCCGTTAAGCCTGTATGTGTAATTGTGCCTCGTAGACCGACAGGCAGACAGGCGGCAGCACAGATGCAAAAAAGTATCTGCGTGTTACGAGCTCAATGTCTCAGAGGCAGCAGAAATCTTTCTAGCTGTGAACCTCACTGTGACCTACATACTGGAGTTTGGTCCAGAGCTGCGGATGAGAGCGAGAACAGAAGATGTGCGTCAACTAATCGCTCCAATGGGGCTCTCTTTCCAAGTCAGCTGGTGAGGGGGGAAAACAAAGAGGGACTAATGTCAGAGTAAGAGTTGTTAAAGCAGCTATAATCAATATTTCTATGATACAAATGTATCAAATGTCATTATGAAAGGTGTTGCTCATAGTCCTAAACCTCCACTCTTTGTAGAGTTTTTGATTTTTCTGAAGCAAGTTTAATATTTCGGGTTAGTTCTCACCGCTCTCACAGCAATGTTTTCAGCTGCAGAAAGCTGATGCTTTATTGTGAAATATCTCTCAAACATCCACTGTACACCACCTGCTAAGGACCAGACAGCTCACAGACACAGTGAGCGATATCAGATATCCGATCCAAGACCTCCCTCTTCAGAGACAGGGGCATTGTTCACAATCTGTTTAACAACTTGGGACACAAATATAAGAGTTGAAGTTAAGGGATTATGACTTATCTCATCTCCATAAACAGATACCTGCATATTAAAGCAGATAAATACATGAAAAAGCAAATCAAAATCATCTTCAGACAATTGCCGATCGGTCCCAAGATTGTATTTCGCCCTATGCGAAATGTTATGTCTCTTTTGTTTACCCGTTTACATGCATGCTACCAAAGCTTACTGAAATGTGATCGGTCAATACTACTCGGACTACACACAGAAACTGTTGATACCAAAATCGTGTCCTGTTGCCTACAGATCTGCATCCATATTGCAATTAATAGAGATTAGTTGAAGTGTTACACTCTATTTGTATTGACAAACATTTCCATAAGATGAGTGTCAAATATATATTGTTCGAGGTAGATCTCTCACACATTTTATTGTCTCTCTCTCTCTCAGCACACTGTGGTGAAGGTACCAGGCGATCATCACATCCATCTGAACGACCCGGGAGTCGTTGCTCCTCTCGTGTCTGACTTCCTGCGAAGCAAAGTGTTGTCAGAGCCAGCTACACTAAAAGAGGAACAGACCTCAAAGTTATAGTTAAAATATTTATAAAAATAACATTAGTTGTGCCTTAAATACTTTTACTGAAAGGAGTGTTGGGTGAGATGAAGAGACTGATTAAAAAAAACAGCCAAATTATATTATATTATATATTATTTTTGGCGCAGCTTGGATATTATATTTGATGCTGTCCTTTGTGTCAATGTCAAGATTTCAAGTGTGTGAGACTTCTGTGAACATGTACAGAAACACTTATGGTATGGTACATAAAGAGAGATAATCTTAAAAGAGGACTCCAAATATAAAGAGTATTCATCCTTAAACTCTTTGATTCAAAACAAAAATCAATGCATGATTAGCTTATTAGAGGATGTCCCTTATATGATAGAAGGCATTATTTTATGCTTTGAAGGCCATGGGATTCAAATTTGTGTTTTTTGATCCGTTTTAAATGTTGACAGTTTTGTCCTCAAGGGTCTAAGTTTCTGTTTTTTTTAGAATTATTATAGGAGATGAGGTAGGAGACTTTGAACTTTTGGGGGGGAAAAAGCTAAACATGTTCCTTATGACAACAACATAAACATGTCAATGACATTCTCACTAACACTTCTCTCATTTCCGACCTTGTCGTTAAAAACTGGACATCATCAGCTTTGAAAGCTTGTTGTTCAGGCTGCTGCACTCTTCTTTTAGCCCAGTGTCTTCCCTCTGCACAGATCACTGTGTTAGCCAACTGTGTTATATCACCCTGTAGCTGCTGCCTTTGAGGATGGTTTGAAATGCACTGTGGCCTGTCAGGTGTTTTAGAAGTCTGCTGCCTATTGTTCATATTTTAACAGCTGCAAAGTTTCTCTGAAGTGTCCGTTTCTTCATGTTTAATCTTAACAGTTAGGAAGCTGTGGGAAGAAAGAAAGTAAATGAGTTTCAGTTGGAGCAGAGGATGAATCTTGACTCAACAAGTTACACAGTAGCATGTGTTCATTCATACAGTATTTAAACTATGTTTAGGTGGAGTATCTATCTATGAAATTACAATTCCTTAGATCTATAGCAATAATTATCTGACCATTTTACTAACAGACCATACTCATCTGTTGTATGGTTGTTGTTTTCAACCACATTTTTAATATTAAAGTTATTTTTAATGTATTGTACATGGTTTCTGGTGTAATTATTTCCTCCCTAAATGTAGAAGGGCAATTCATTTGCAGCCTATATTCAATTCATATAATTGTATTCAGTCTTGGTTCCATACACAGGTTTTAAAACTCACTCCCTTACTTGAGGCAACAGATCATCATACATGGGTAAGTAAAGTATTGGTCACAAAGACTTATATAAATGCAGTCTATTTACCTTTCAATGCATACTGTCCAAAAAGTCTATAAGTAGTTAGATGCATCTCTCATTGTATAAATAGCCTGAAAGACAAAACTGAGGGGGACAAAGTTCAGTGCAGCCACCAGACAACACGGAAGTTGGTTCTGACGTCACGTTTTGTTTGTTATGTTAAATACTTTTGCGAAGTTGATGTGGCATTAGACACTGCAGCTTTAATTACAATGGCTGCAGAAGGTAAACAAATTCAGTCTAGAAGGACACTTTGATAAATTGTGTAATCTACAGTGTGAGGTATTGATACTCATATGCTTTGTTTACAAATCAAAACGTTCTTTCTTTGGATGTTATTGTTAGTATTTTTAGTGTAAAGTAAGTTTCTCCTATCCGTCAAATCTGTGTGCATGGGCTGCAGACTTTCTTTCACAAATTGATAAACAAATTCCTCGCTTCCTCGCTTGGCTGACTAATACAATACTAATACACAATACTGTTGCTAAAAGTCGTAAACGGTTTGATTTTTCTGTCTGTAAGAATCTGGCAGTCTCGTTTTAAAACTGCTCTATGAGTTATTTCGTTGTTTAATGTTTCAGTTTCAGAGCTCTGTGTCCCGGTGCCATGGGGGGAGATCAGAGGGAGAGTTTGGGGTCCTGAACATGGTCGTCCTGTGCTCTGCCTGCACGGCTGGGCTGACAACTGTGGTGCATTCAAAACCCTCATTCCCCTTCTTCCCAAAGGTAACACACTACTACTGTGCAGTGAGCAGAGGTGGGACCAGGCCATTGTTATGCAAGTCACAATCAACCCCTACTTTTGAATACCCATACTACCCTTATTATACATCCATGATACTACCATACCATTTGAAGTATATGTACTGCACATTTTGCATTGCGCAAGCCAGAATGCTGTGTAACTGTTCTGACCAACAATCCTTTCCACAGCAGATATGAGAAAGAGGATCAAAGTTCAAGATGCCATATAAGGATAAAGTACTTAGTCCACACTGCATGCAGTATGCACATTTTGTATAGTGCAATTCGTTTTTTGTTAACCACTGTATAGTTTTGGTATGCTAACAAAATTATCTTTGGTATGAATTTTTCAACGGCCCCTCAGTTAGATAACGTTAGTTCATCATGGTTTTGTATTCCTACTTCATTGGAAGCTGCTGTACTCTTTCAAACCAAGGCTACGCTCCAAATCACATATTTTTTCCTTTTAATACAAACTGCAGCTGCCCTTTCATTACTGCATGCAATATGTCATATACTTTTTAAACTATGGGGTTGGGGTCAGTTATCACATATTTCAAGTCAAAAGGCACAAGTCCAAGTGAAATCACAGGTCATTGTTGTTTAAAATAGTCTCATCTCTTCTCTCCTCAGAGTTCAGATACATTGCGGTGGATCTGGTGGGTCACGGTCTGTCATCACATCGCCCTCCTGGAGATTTCTACTCTTTACCGGAGTACGTGACGGACGTACTCAGAGTCACTGATGGTGCGTGGGAACATATTTATGCATATAATTAAACCACAGAGGGACTTATGGCGACTCTCGATGCTCTTTCATGAGATACTGAACCTGGTTGATGATCTGTGAAATTAACTCCCACAGCGCTGCAGCTGAGGAAATTATCCGTCATCGGCCACAGTATGGGTGAGTCCACCAATTGAGCAGAATTTTTCCTAATCTGAGTTGCTATGCTACAAAGTCATTTAAATTGCAAATCACGTGCGGTTTCTCTTTAATTACAGGTGGGGACGTTGCTGGAATGGTGAGTATTGTGTAATCTCTTTCCTCTTTTATTCATAACACACAAAGATTAATTAGGCCTGATTTTGAACATGCTATAACCATATGGTCTAAATTGTGTCTTCTACAGTTCAGTGCACTGTATCCTGAGATGGTGGATGCTCTTGTGCTTCTGGACAATTACGGAATACTACCTACAGATTCAGTAATAATCTTTGTTTACTTACCAGATTACACTCACTGTAAATCTTTAATGGTTTGTGTTGCCAGGGCATAATGACCAGTGGCTTTGTGTTTTTCTTCTTTTTGTTTAGTCTTCTTGAACTCTATTAGAGTTTGCAATTCCTACGTGTCCTGAAAAATGTGGAAAACTGTTGAACAATTTTCAAGTCATTGATATAAATGTACTTCATCTCATATAACAGTTAAACATATCTTGCTTATTGCCTCCAGAAAGAAATATGCAAAGTGACGAGGCAGGGGATGGATCAAATACTACAGTTTGAAAAAAAGACAGAAGAGGAGAAGAGGAGAGTTTACACGTACGAGAAGGCAGTTGAAAGGTATCACTTTACAGATTACTAATAATTTTGTCTCATCTTATTTTAATGCTGATTGCTAACGTATTTTATTTATTTCAGGTTGCTGGCTGCAAACCCGACACTGTCTGAACGGTCGGTGCACATCCTCCTAGAGCGAGGTCTCGTTCAGGTTGAAGGAGGTACGTCTTTATCTCTTCCCCTCTTCTAACAGAGGAATATTCTCACTTTGGTTTCATCTTCTGAATGTGTTTCTCTTCTTCAGGGTTTGCCTTCTCCAGAGACCTGCGAATTAATTTTGTATGTCACTTTTAACCTTCCCCTAAAATCACCTCTCCTCTGTTCACTTGCTTTTTTTACAACAGAGGTTTAGTATTCAGCTTTTACAGTAGCTGTGTTTATGTTTTCAGAAAAATATTGTGCGCATCAGCTTGGAGCAGAGTCTGGAGATACAGTCGAGGATTCAAGCCTCTGTTCTAGCTGTTCTGTAAGATATTGATCACTATACTGAAATAAATGTTTGTATTATAATGTTACACCTGTAGTATCACATTGTGACGTAAGACACACATTTATAATCACTGACAAATGTTAGCTAATGGCCTGAACAGAAATACAGCTTTAAATGAGGAAATCATGTCCCTGCCCCAATTATGTGTTTTAAAAAAAGTATACAAGTCACTCATTTTAGTCTGCCATAGCTCTCTAACAATAGATAATGCTACAGTATATGGTCCATTCTCACATTGTTTGTTCAAAATCTTTTCCTCCAGGACGGATAAAGGCTTTGATAAAATACTCTCTGAACCAGCTCAAAGAAAATTTACCTCAGCACTCCTCGAAGGTTTAAAGAACAGAAACGTGAGTTTCCAACTTGAGGTGGAATTAAATTACAATCAATTTGAAGTGGTTTTACTTGATTATTTAAACATCTTAGTGGCTTTTTGTTCTTTGTACCAGAAGTTTCATATCCCTCTCTGTTTCTGTGGGTTTCAGCACACGGTTGTTAGGGTACCAGGCGATCATCACGTTCATCTGAATAATCCTCAAGTCATCGCTCCATTTGTTTCTGACTTCCTGCGCACCAAAGTGTTGTCCCAGTCAATCAACAGACAGCACAAGTTATAAACTACAAATACACTGGTGTACTTAAGTAATATTGTATAGTTTATAAAAGCACAGTGTGATTTACAATAAAACATACAATAAAATACATTTAAAAAAGAATTTCTTTCTGATGTGACATTATTCCTTTTGAAACTTCTAGTTTTTGTTTTTCCAAATTGTTGTATTGTGACACATTTGAGTGTTTTTTTAAACAATGCTTTTGATTTTCTCTAAATTGTCTGATTGGCCAAACATGTTGAGGCTGCCCTCTTAAGCCCCACGGACCCGCCGAAGAGGGCGAAACCACAACATCTGCAAGCAACAGTGTCTGAGGGCTTCTTAAGATTTAATAAACTATGAATGTTTCATATCCATGTAACGGGAAGAAACTCAGCTACCTGATAATTTATTTATTTTTACCAAAAAAAAACACAAGGCTAACGCTGAGCCTCTGAATTAGCCCTGAGCGAAAAAATGGTCACGCCGTTAGCACAGAAAACACGGTATAACACCCTTATTACTTATCGTAACTGCACATCCAACATATCGATTAGCATCGTGAGAATACACAGAATCGATAGGTATCTATATAATCACTCCATGATTAGAACTCGCGACATTATAAACAAACACAGACATCACAACACGTGGCATTAGGTAGCCAACACGGCAATATGTCTTACCTCTGTTGTTGTCTAATCAAAAGTTGTCTTCAATGGCATTAAAACGATAAATACGCTGCTGAAGGTTAATCCATAGGTTAATCCAATGTGTCTGTGTCACTTTGAAATTATTTCTGATAATCCATTAGCAATAAACCTATTTTAAATGTTTAAATGTTCAGATTTCAGAGCGTAAGATAGGTTTCGCTTTCGGCAAACTGCGTGCGCATAGCCCCCACTTCTCAATGGTAACGGTGGTGTGTATGTGGAAATTCCCCTTTGATTCTATTGGCTCTAACGGTTTAAAAGAGATGTCAATCATCAAAATCGACCAATGGGTTCCAGAGAAACGGCAAAAACGCCCATTTCCACCCAAATGACCACAGAGGTGGAGTTTTTTTTGCTAAACCTCTCTAAAAATGTCAAATGTCACTTGTTTTGCATCAATCTTGATACAGGGTACTTATTATATGTTGTACTTTGGATTCCTAAAGCTTTTAGTCTACTAACTCATCATCCAAGGGTAGTTTTCACTATAAGTAAAAAATAATTTCTGGACGGACACTATAATTTACAGTTTTTTACTATGTTCAATCTGAATTTTCTTTAAAATAAAAAACATCTATATTGATTCTGACTTTTCTACATCCAACTCACAGGTTTATCATTACTTTGAGAAAAAAGATGATTAATGTTCCCCTTTTAGAAGTGTAGTTATGGTCATTTGTTCTGGAAATGTCATTTTCGAGCCTGAGACCTGAAAAACAGGCTTGGGGCTTAACAGGGAGGGCAATGTCCAAAAATAATTCTTATCACAGAACAAAAAGTGTGAATGGGGGTTTCTCAGCAGGTACAGTTCCCAGTGGTATTGTCCTTGCAGCAGACTGCCTGACAGCCATTACTGAGGGAACAAAAGACACACAGCAGAGAGTAGTCACCTTTCAGGTAAGACCCGACTCAGCAGTGTATAATGATTGGCCAGAACAGCAGCCCGTCCTTATGAACGTCCAATGAAATCACTGGTTGCAGAAAATATTTATGTTTAGGTTCCAAAGGTCAGAGTTTTCCTTCATGTTTCATTTGTTAAACAGACATTTCAGAATAGTTTGAAGCGTTGTGAATGTTCAGCTATTTTTCACTTTCAGAGACATAAACTCCAGATCAACAGTTGCTGAGATGTCATCTACAGTGAAACCAGAAGGTATTTGATTCTAAATGACCCAACACAAGTGTAGCAACATTGACCCTTTCCAGGTGACATGGACTCAGTTCAACCCTGTAGTTTAATCTAGTTTATAGATTGACTGATCCTTGTTGCTGTTGTTGCTGTTGTTGCTGTTGTCTGAGGAGATGCATTGTTGTTTAATGTGTCAGTTTCAGAGCTCTCTATCCCGGTGCCATGGGGGGAAATCAGAGGGAGAGCTTGGGGTCCTGAACATGGTCGTCCTGTGCTTTGCCTGCACGGCTGGGCTGACAACTGTGGCACATTTAACACCCTCATCCCCCTTCTACCCAAAGGTAAACTATGACGGACTAGATACAAGTAACTCCCATTTTGACAAGACTTAGTTGATCTTAATCCAAATGTCCCGCTGAGTTTACTTTGCTCCAAGGTGATGTCTCCTGTTTCATGTCTTTCATTCTTGTTTTGGGCTTCCTGTTTTATTCATCTCCCCCCTCGTTCCAGATCACTTAACTTCCTGCCTTTGTGTGTTTGCCCCCCTACTGATTAGTTGTACCTGTCCACAAATAGCCCTGCAGTCACCTGACCTCCTGCTCCCCGTTCTCATTCCCCAAATGTGTCCATCTTCTTTTGTTAGATATTCTGTTACTTTTCCTGCTGTGTCCTCTCTGTCTGTTAGACTCATATTTCCAGGTTTATATGTGTGTTCACATTAGAAAAGTGTCCTGTAGGTCCGGAAAACTTGAAATGAATGCTGTACATACGACGGCAACCAACACACTATCAACAATAAGTAAAAGCACACATCAAGTTTTCTAAGTGCATTGAGTAAACACTAATAGATGTGTAACATGCAAATATTATTGATGAGCTTTGTTCACAGTAGCAAATGCTCTAACAATAACGGAGCCTGAAGCTGCTGTACTTAGGCTCAGAATGTGTGCTTCAGCTTTGTCTTACTTCTCACCTTAATACTCCCAAACCAGTAGATCAATATGAATGTTAGAACAGATGTTGAGTAAAAGATCTATACAACTAAATCACTACCGTTTGTCATCATAAAAAGAGCTTAGATTCCTCAGTAAAAACAGTCTTTGTTGAGCTCTCGAGTGTCTTTTTGGGTGATTGTGCCCAGGTGTTTATAAATACGAACAATCTCTGCTGTGATGTTAAAGTGCACTCAAAGTAGAGAGCATACATACAGTCGACTTTTTGAGTGTGCTGCATCATTTTCTCCCACAAGGCACCAAGTCAAACGATGAGCAGTTAGAAAGAGGTGGTAAAACATTTTGTGTCTGTTTGGCATCTTTCAAAAAAAGGGGACACATACTTTTCTGTAAGGGAAAAACATTTGAAAGTATTGTCATATTTTTGAATATGAACTACTATTCAAAAGTATACTGGTGTATACATAATGCTGTAGAAGTGTGGATCCGGTTCACGGCTTAAGAGTCCTGCAGTCATGCTAGCAGCTCTGTGTGATTTTACTTTGAGCTAAATGCTAATGTCGGTCTCAAAATGAAAATTCTAACATGCTGATGTTAAGCGTGTATAATGTTTACACTGTTCAACATTTTTTGAGCTTATTAGTAGCATGCTAACCTTTACATATACAGTCTATGATGCTAGCATTAGCTAATTAGCACTAGACAAAGTTAAACTGATTCTAATGGGTCCAATGGGTTAAACTGATTCTAATGGGTCCAATGGGTTAAACTGATTCTAATGGGACCAAAAGGTATTAGAATGCAAGCCTGAAGCCTGTGTGATTTCCAGGTTGTTTGTAGTTTTTAATAATTGTATTTCCCTTTCTACTTCCTGTCAGAGTGCAGATATGTGGCGGTGGACCTGGCCGGCCACGGTTTGTCCTCTCATCGTCCCGCTGGAGTTCTCTACACGTTTCCTGCTAACGTGGCTGATGTACGCAGAATCGTTGACGGTGTGTGAGCTCAATAATTTGAACAATCTTTTTATCCATTAGCTTCACTTAAATAAGATCAAGATGTTGGATCTCTGCAGGACTCTGGTGCATCTCTGCAACAAAAGTACAGCCGTAAGTTACACTGGATTTAATCAGATGTGCTTTCATTAAATAACTCCCACAGGCCTCCAGTGGACAACATTCACCATCATCGGCCACAGTATGGGTGAGTGCAGCAAAACAAACATGCCACTGTGCATTTTCACATCTTCTGCTTCCATAAAACAACAAATGCAAGGGCAACAATGTCTCCTCTTCTATAATGAAACGTTTTGTTTTAAAGTTGTTCTAAATCTGGTCCAATTGATTAAATCTACCATTTGGGTGTAATTATAGTGTTGTTTCTTGAGTTGATAACAGTGCTGGAACAAGTGATTTCATCCATAAGTCAGGAGAAAATCAATGTATAATCAACTATTTGGGGGATTTATTATACATTTAAAGGTCCCATGTCATGGCCATTTCTACTGATCATAATTCCATTCTTGAGGTCTACTAAAATAGATTTATATTGTGCAATTTTCCAAACTCACATTGGTTTCTCATACAGCATCTCTGTATAGTATGTGTATTCACCAGAGGCCTGTACTACGAAGCTGGATTTTCGCTTAGCCGGCTAAATTCAGGGAAATCTCGGGCTTTCCGGTCCTACGACGCTGGTTCTCTTTTTAGCAGGCTAGATTTCCATGGTAACTTATGCTGAGCGGCAAACCTGCTCCGGAGCAGGTTAGGTGGCAGGCTAAGAGATCAACTCAGTGAAAGCACTGCCTGCTGACCAATCAGAGCTCCGTGTGCGGAGTTTAAAGCGATCAATTCATATGACAGGAGGAGAAAGGAAATACAGTTTAAACTGCCGTTGCAGGAAAGACGACCGGCCAAAATCAACTGACTGTGTGAACGTGAAAATTAATAGAATATCCCTTCCCATCTTCAGAGCAATCTGACTATTATAACATTAGCGTTAAGAAAGCTTACTTAAATATCTGCCACGACATAAGTAACCGGATCAGAGTAACATTAAGTACAGTCCGCGGCACTGTGAGTGCAGACGTAGATGTGTCCCATTATCATTCATATCATATCACATCATAATGTATCATATATTTCCTTATTTGAGTCAGCTTCTTGAGCCGTATCTGGCCGTGCAACACTCACAGTGTCACATACTGTATGCAGAAGTATTATTTTAAGCAACACATTAAATTGACGAAACACTCGAGTCAAATTCTCCTAATTAAAGTCAGATCGTGTCTTGGACGGGGCAGTGATTTCATAAACCTGTTAATGTACGCATTCAAACACTTTTTCTTTTACCAGCTGTATTCACCTTGCAGGTGCAGCTATGTGGCTTTTATCCTGGAAAAAGTGTTTAAGTCATGGATGTTTAAAGTTTAACTTCCTCATATTTGACTAATATTAAAGTTCACTTTTCATTCAGGAAGTATGACGCTGCGCTGTCAGTACGCTTCTCCGTGTTTGAGATTGGTCGAATGCTCCAAATACCACCCCTTTCATGTGAACGCGCACCTAACTAGATAGGACACGGCGGCTTGAGCGATCCACTTGATATCCAGCGTCGTAGTACAGCTTAGCGCCAGCGCGTATGTTTTGGATTACGCCAACCGGCTAACTCCAACATATCCAGGTTAAGTTGAACCAGCTTCGTAGTACAGGCCTCAGGTATTCACTCTCTGTCCTAAACGGCTTGTTGGAGCTCCTGCCCCCCCCCCTCCCTGTGAGCCCAGTGTGCTCTGATTGGTCGGGACGTTGAGAGGCTCGTTGCTGCGATCTGCTGCGAGGAGCGGAGCAGATCGCAGCAACGAGCCTCTCGGCGATACAGCGAGAACAAGCGAAATTCATCCTGAGCACACACAAACACTCACAGCCGAAGTAAAAACAATAAGTGTGGCTTGATATTGAGTAAGAAAAAGGTTTATAACGCTGTGAGAATGGGTCTGCGGAGAGCATTTCTCCGCGATCCCAACCTAGTAGCCCGCGATCCCAACCTAGTAGCCCGAAAAACGTTTACCCATTTAAACAGTCGTGGTAGATACCTTGTTTGTTTTAAACAAATACACAAACAACAATGAATACTTACAGGTTGTGTACCCGAATCTCCCGCTGGTCCAAACAAAGTAGGAACAGCATCGTTCTTCAGTGCCCTACGCTGTACATATCCGGCATGAATCGCTGAAAGGTTTGTGAAGCTTTGTTTCGTGAAATGCTGGCAGAGGGTGTGGCCTCTGGGTATTCACACGTCACAGTACCCAGGAAGAAAATGAGAAATCTCCAACGAGGCGTTTTGGGGAGGTCTTTTCTGTGTTAGAGTTTTACTCCCTACAGGGTGTACTTTGAGGGGTTTTGACTCTGCAGACCGTTTACATGCATAAAAACCTTCATAACACACAAGGGGACAGGTAATAACCGGAAAAGCATGACATGGGACCTTTAAGACACTTTAAAAAAAATAAAAAACATTGAATATCTCTAGCTTCCCAAATGAGTGTTTTTTTCTTTCATCAACAAGTAATGTACTTGTCTTTAACTTTGAGAATTATTATTTGTTCCCTGTCTTACAGGTGGCAACATCGCTGCATTGGTAATTAAGAGCATACATTATCACTGGTTTCATATAATATTGTACAGTGTTTTCTTGCTTGGCCAATATTGTGTTTTCCACAGTTCAGTGCACTGTATCCTGAGATGGTAGATGCCTTTATACTGCTGGACGCGTATGGATTCTTACCTACAGATCAAGTAATCAAGTTTTTGTTCTACCTATAGAGTTGTTGACTAGCCTTTGAGGTCAATTAAAATATTAAAATGTCTGTGATTGCAGCAGTGGTATTACATTATACCCCATTTATTTTCATATTACACTGCAGTCAGTAGTTTTGTGTCTTTTTCCCGCAGAAAGAAATACCCAAAGTGATGCGACAGGGGATGGATGAGATGCTTCAGTATGAGAAAAAGACGGAAGAGAAGAAAAGAGTTTACACGTATGAGAAGGCAGCTGAGAGGTACTACATCACTCCAGTTCATGACACATTTTTATTTAATAATCACCCATTCGTGTGGGATGTTTTGCACTGATCTGAAGTGTGTTTTAAAGGGAAACTCACACACATTAGAGTTGGATGTAGGGGAGTTATAATGCATATGTTATAATACGTTGTATAAAGCATGGTGAGACTCCAAAATGTTAACCCTTAAGTATCTCAGGTTAAGAGAAAAAGTCAAATCTGAGGGTATGGAGCTGAGAAGAAGTGTACTTCGTGACCACATGTCACCCAATCCTCATCAATAAAAGCTGCTACTTAAAATATATTTGGATAGAATCAATCTGAATCTCAGACCAGAATGTCTATGTTGCATTGTGGGTAAAGTAGGCGCTAGATTTTGACCAAGGAAGAACCTGGTTTGGAGTAAAAAGAGACGATGTATCGCATTCTGCAGCATCAATTTCTATCTTTCCAAAAATGTAGTAGGTGTGTAATTCTAAAACAGAAAGATAAAACCAAACAATAATCAAATCTGTCTGTTAGAGTTTTAGTATTCTCCTAAAGTCAGCTGTTGGCTTAAGTGTTTTATTTACTTCAGGTTGCTGGCTGCAAACCCGACTCTGTCTGAACGGTCGGTGCACACCCTCTTAGAGCGAGGTCTCGTTCAGGGTGAAGGAGGTATGTGTTTATCTTTCCCTCTCCTCTAACAGAGGAATCATCTCATTTTGGTTTCTAACATCTGCTGAATGTGTTTCTCTTCTGCAGGGTTTGTGTTCTCAAGAGACCCGCAAATTAATTTTGTGAGTCACTTTACACCTCCCAATCCTTCCCCCCACATTCCCCTCCTACTATCTGTAAACTTGTATTTTCTACAACAGAGGTTTAGCATTCAGCTTGTACAGTAGCTGTGCTTTATTTTATGTTTCCAGAAAAATATAGTGCGCATCAGCTTGGAGCAGAGTCTGGAGATACAGTCGAGGATTCAAGCCTCTGTTCTAGTTGTTCTGTAAGATATTGATCACTACACTGATATGGGTCTTAGTAAATGATTGTATATTCATAAAAAATGAATTTAACCTGTTAAAATCTTCTTTTTTTCAGAGGAGACAAAGGCTTTGGTGCAACTACTGGTCCAGAATTATACCCAAGGAGATTTGCCTCTAAACTTCTCCAAGGATATCATGACAGAAATGTGAGTTTGAATCTTGGAGAAATAATCTCCAAATACATGCAGGAAAACATCGTATTTTGAACCATTGTAGTACCTGGAGTGTTAAGGCTAAAAACGGTAGTACTCATCCATTTGAAGCAAAGTCACTAAGCTGCATTCATAACATTGATGTGTGTGACTGTGACACCCTAAAACAAGACAGTGCTTTAAACAATGTCTGTGTCTGTGTTGATCTGTTAAATCTATTGGGGCAGGCAGCAGCACAGATCTAAAAGTAGCAACATAGTACAAGCTCAATGTCTCAGAATAAACAGAAATATTTATAGAAGTGCAAAAAGGGTTCACTCACCAGATGAGATTCCTTTATTGTTTTCATTGTTTTGCATTGAAATATATTTAATGTATTGACAAAACAAAAAATGGAGATAGCTTGAATTCTCAATGTCAGTTAGAGACATTGATATTAGCTTAAATTAAAACGTTATTTCAAATATTGTCATATGTTTCATACTATGCAAAATGTACAATATGTACACATAAAATGGTATCACAAATTCACCAACAAGTAATGAAGGTCAAACACGAGCAAAAAGATCTTCCTCAGTTAACTTTAAAAAAAAGGTATAATAACAAAAACACAGAAAAACTTGCATTTCTACTTTTGCATGCTTCTTATTCAAAGATTCATTTTCTTCTGTCTTGCAGCACACAGTGGTTACGGTAGCTGGCGACCATCACGTCCATCTCAATGATCCTGAAGTTGTCGCTCCACTTGTTTCTGACTTCCTGCGGACTAAAGTGTTCTCTCAGCATCTGCCGGCATAGTACACAAACATACGCACGCACGCACGCACGCACGCACGCACGCAAGCACGCACGCACGCACGCACGCACGCATACACACACACACACACACACACACACACACACACACACACACACACTCCCTCACTTAAATCAAACCAAGAACCAGCTCCAGATCATCTTTAGGACAAAGAATAGTTTGACCAAGCTCTATACTGTATATACAATCCTACACTGTTCAAAATATGTTTTATTTCTTTATATAATTTATGCAGCCGGGACGTCATTATTTAATTTGAAGCTGATCTATGAAACTTGGCTGGTTCTCATAAACCTAACGCTTGTGTGAGCTAAACATGGCAGTCATTAAAGGAGATGTCACCCTCTGACAACTTCTCATTATGTAGGCCAATCCTGTCTGTGTTCAGCTTTTGTGTTGCAGCCAGCAGGACAAAAAACTAAATCTTATTCCCAGCTCTTCCCTCAGTGACTACATAAAACCCTGCAGCCGCCGTCAGTCAGAGCAGATATTAGAGGTGCAGCTCACACAAAAATCGCCCCTCTCTTTCTCAATGTCACATAAACTGTGTGATGGCCTTGCTGTTAAATGGAGTGGAATCGATTTTACGCAGCGAGCATTCACAGACATCTGAAGGCCCCCCCCCCCCCCCCCCCCCAAAAAAATGATTATAGTTATATAAGTTTCCCTCCCACTCCCTCCATCCTCTCCACCATCAGCAGGGGTGTTGTCATAGCAACCCCCACCCCTCCTCTTGAACGTCAGCGGCAGGAGCTCGGAGGATGAAGCCGCATGCAGCTCCTGTCTCTTGTGCCTCTCACAGAGCATCACCTGTGATTTGACTCGTCTCACATGCAACAGTCAGAGCTGCGGCGCCGGATATTATCTGATGACTGATTTGACTCGCGGCTGCTGCTCATCACATACCATCTAAAGACCGAGAGCAGCTGATTCAGCAGCGTCTGCAGGTATAAGCACAGTGGCTTTATTTACTACTGAGCACTATTTTTAGAGTGCAGCACCTGTGTGTGTTTTGCACATTAGATTTATTTGTATCTCAGTGTGGTAGAAGTAGTGATTCTTGTGATTGTAATGAGGTAGGCTTTCTAGTGAATGACTGAACATAATGCTGCAGTCTGTCCTGGGTGATATTTCACCCTGAAGGATTACTTTTTTTTTAACCCCAAAACTCCTCCTTTCCTTCCCTTTCTCTGTCATGTCTCCTCGTCCCCTCCCTCCTCCGCCCTCTGACAGCAGTGATGTCGTGGCTCTTCTTGGACTGGTTCGTGCCCCTCTACCTGCTGGTGTCTGTCCTGGTGCTGGCGGGCTTCGGAGCGTGCCTTTACTTCCTCGAGCCCGGGCTGCAGGAAGCCCACAAGTGGAGCAACAAAACAGTCCGGCATCACCCGCTGGTGGCCAGTGTGAACTGCATGGATGACGATAGCAATGCCCTGATATGATCAAGAGGGCCATCTGGACAGCAGGGTGCTGCCAGGACACCGTGGGATGGGAGCCAACACCTTAAAGATGGAGAGAGAAAGAGGTGGAGGAGAGTTGCTCTGTCTAATCATTCCAACTTTTCTCTGATCTCTAACATCCTTAATGTAGAGTTCAGGGGAAAGTGAAGCAGAGAGGAAATGCACAAGGTGGAGGAGACTTTATGCAGGATGAGATTTTGGAGGTGAATGGGAGACATGATGCCCTTTAGAAATGTGACGATGTAAATTCCACGCCATCTTATACTTGTGCCAACTTTTACATACGTTTTGTAATTTGACAATCACTTTACATGAATCATGAAGTTTACTTGCTATATTGTGCATTTGATAAGTGAAGGGAATGATATAAGTGCAATGAGTTTGATGGCAGCAGGAAGGGTTTCTCACCCTCTCTCTGGTGATGGTGGCACAGCAGCTGCTGAGAAGCATGAGGATTGTTAGAGCCAACATGCCAAAATAGTTTTAGGGGTAACTTTATTATAATAATATGTATTGAATAATTGATGACTGATTATATTCAAGGTGCCAAGATTATCCTGGATGGACCAAGATTATAGAAAAGTACTATTTGGCAGTGCTCAAAGTGTATTACTTGTGTCTTCATTGTGTTTACTTGACAGCATGGTGAGGAAACGTTGGGTATGTAACGACCCTCTTTTAAATGATCATATGCTTCCTTTATTCATGCTTAATAAAATGGTTAAATCTTCAATTATTTGGATTTACATGTATTTATTTTATTATGAAGTTGAACATATCTTTAAACCAATATTTAGGTTTGTGTAGTGTATCTGCAACAGTGGTGGAAAGTATATTTACATTACTAAATGTGCTATACTTTACTTGATTATGTCTTTGTCATGCTGCCTTATACCATTTATCTGACAGCTGAAGTTACTAGTTACTTTTCAGATTTAGAGTTTACATTAAAAACACATGAGCTCATAAAAATGTTGCTGGATGTTTCACCAAAAAGAGTAAATATTTTGTTTTTATTTAAATAAGTGTAGGAGGTCCAAAAGAGAGGAAAATAAGAACACTAATTTGTCTAGCAGAACATTGTATTTTACAACCGTAAAATGGTCCTTACAATTAGATGCATGACTATTAAAATGTTATAATGGGATATTAGATAATATCAGATGCCCAATACTTTTACTTATGACACTTTTAAGTACATTTTAAATTGTGCCGACTTTCCCACGGCTGATCTGCATTGTAGAGAGACAGAACAGTGCAAACACACCATGCACATGGAGCATTCACAGACGTCCCATGAAAAGAGGAGAGACCAGAGTGGGAGAGAAACACTGGAGCTTCAGTGTCGAGGAATGGAGAGAATGGCACTTGTGCTCCCACCACTTCCTACTGCCGAGTTCCCCGTCTCGCACTCTTTGACTTATTTACCAACTGAGTGTGTCAACAACACAGTTTGCTTCAGACAGCAGGTTAGTGCATGTTTCCCTCATTTAACTAATCTTATGTACAGTTTTGTTATGTAGTGGAATTAAGGTTAGTCCTACCGTATAACTGATGCTTTCAGATTGTTAGAAGTAACTTAGTTTATTTATTTAGATGCTGTACTTAACAACCAGCTTAAGGTACTTACATATGTATATGCTACTTCTTTACCCCACTACACTTCATAAGGGAAACAGCAGTTTAAATGTACATATAGTAGCACCTAACTTTGCATAATTAAATTGTATTTGTGTGTATTTGTATAATGTGCTATATAAATAAAATTTGATTTGATTTGATTTAAAAACACACAATTGCATTGTTATAGTTTACAAGTATCTAAAATAGAAAATACTGGCTCAATCTCTTATAGCTACAGCCAAAAATTGCCACCTACACACTATTGCATTGATATTATTATTGCATTGGTAACAATCTAGTAAAACACATTATGGTAACCCTAACAGGGGCCAAGATCTTGTTTAATTAATACTTGAATATGTTTAGTGTTTTAACTCATCTGAATGCAATGCCTTCTTATAATGTAGTACTTTTAATTTTGAGGTTTTACATGATAAAGTATCTTGATCCACCAGATTGTCACATGTGCAAAATGTTAAGAGATATAATTGTGTTTAACATATTTAAAAAACCTGTTTAATCTCAACACTCCCATCAATCTTTATTTTTAACCTTTTTCCTCGCAACTTACAACAGAATGAGTGTTTTTGATCGTCCAGCACCTTTGATCCCTCAAGTATCTGCATCCTCCAGACAAACAAACAAAAATCCATCAGTCTGTGTGTCTCCTCCTCTGCCCCTCTCTTCACCTGTCATCACAAAGAAAGCCATTCAAATCCCGTCATTTGATGAGAAGGGACTCATCTACGAGAAACACAACACAAAACCAAACAGTGACAGGTAAATTAAGCTGTATATCAGCTGACTCTCGGTTTCATGTAATATAATATTGTGCTGAATTCATTTTTTGATTTACAACTTTTCTCCCCTCTTGTGGTTGCAGATCATTTCTCCCAATTTGTTCTCCCAAGTCATCCACTCAGCCTTTTTGGGGTAAATCATGTCTGCATTCAGAGGGAAAACATGGAGAAAGAGCTTCAACCCTCCCAAGAGCTAAGCCCAAAACATGCAGCTCTCCAATTTTTTCTGCAAAGCCGAGCATCTCCATTGTCCCTGCACCAAAGCCAAATTCCTCTCCCACTCTGAAACCAAAGCCAAGTGATTCTCTTCATCTCCCTGCCTCACAGTTCAGAGATCCCTCTCCATTATTCCTGCAACAACTTCATCCTAAACTGAGTGTATCTCCAACTCTGACTGTCCCAACTCCCAGACTGAGTCCATCCCCGACCTCCCTGTGCCAAGGGATGAGTTTAGATAGCAGAGGAGGTAAGACGCCATCTCCTGTCATTGTAGAAAGACGTGCTAGACAGATTACCATATCGAATACTACAGTGGAGCCGGATTCCATCAAACAGAGATCTTCAGATGAGGCGAAGCATGACATTCTTGACCAAGAAGCTTTACTGGACTTTACTCATCCTGCCTTAAGAACAGCTTGTTCCATATCCCGACATCAGACTAACTCTGAGTCCAAGACACAAGTAGCCCTTTCTCAGAGTTCCTGCCTAATGCAAGGCAATGCTGGTTTAAGTAAAAGAGAAAACATTGCTCAAGATAAACCAAAGCCTCCACCCAGGAATATAGACAATACTTCAATCCCCAAACCAAAGCCAAACATCAAAAAGCAACAGGAATGTTTGCCAAGTGGAGCGAGAGGTACACAAACGTCTCTGTCAGAGTCTGAAGGGATTAGGTTAGCTAAAGTTGTTCAGAGAGAGTCAGCGTTTGATGTGCTGGCAACTCAGTCAAGCCTGAACCTTCACAGGAAGCGTACAGAAGACTACCCTCAAAGGAGGAATTACGCCTCCAATGAACAATACGAACTAAAGTATTCTGACAGAAATGCAACGACTTCAAAAATCTCCTTTTCCACAGAGCCTCTCCCCAATCAGTCACCCACTATTGAGAAAAGGAGAAGACTGTTTGACTTGAGCAAAGACACAAAAGTAGATGCAACATTTCTGTCTAATCTCAGGAGACCTAAAAAAGAAAACAACATACAGACAGCTACAGGAAATGTATCTAAACTCTCTCCACAAACCACCAGGGCCTCTCGTCAGAAACACAGATTCTGGTGGAAGGATCCACTCCCAGTAAATCAGTCCGTCTGTGTTTCAAAGGATTACAGCTGCCAGTCAAGAGACATTGATCGTGGAGCAGATTCTCACAGTTTAAATCAATTTAAAACATGTCTGGTGGCACCTCAGACACAGAAGGCCTCCGGACCTGCTTCTATTGAGTGTGCAACATCAAAAACAATCCTTTCAACACCTGATACTATCTCACACAAACACAAAGAGATGAACCTCTGTGTCACAGGCGTGTCAAATCAAACGGATATTTTTGCACCATCTGGCTTTCATGGGACGCCTGCAGAGCTAGAATACCCCTCAGAGAAATACTGCCCATTCAACACAAACAGTATTGGCATCAGATCAAAGGGGGTCTTTGACCTGCCGCTGCAGCACACAGCGTACCAGAGGCCAGACCAGGCAACAACAACAACAGCCTTCTCTTCACACACACCAGATTACCCACCAGCAGGCAGAGCGTTTATCATGGAGGAGCCAGAGGACCCCTATTATGTCACCATGTATTACCCTGGGTCAGTCTACGTGGGTGAGTACAGAGACATCCAAAACACTTAACTGAACAGAGTGAAGAAATCTCTCAAAGCACACATGGCAGAGACTCTTTTATATTTTGTTTGATCCTTTCAGAGGTAAATAATGTTCTATCTAAGGGGGTGGAAAGTCAGACAAGGGGGTTTGGTCAAAGAGGACAGCAGAGGGATTTGTGACGTCGCTCCGTATCAGTAGAGTAACAGACATGCTGAAGAGAGGCGACAGCGTTGGTTGGCAGACTCTATCAAAGTGACTCGTCCAGGAGGACATACAGCCCTCCACAGAGACAAACAAACAGAAAGAAATGATGCAGAAAGGAAAAGTAAATAAGAACGACAGGGGAGAAACTCAGAGGTAAACTGTGATGTTCTCTCCCTGTAGCACTTTTACTTGACAACACTTGCAAAAGATATGTATTTACTGTTAGTTAAAGCTAAGTTATACCACTGTATATCATGTTTTAATATTAAAAGATAGAGATAAAACTAAATAAAAACCACTTAGTATAAATAAAGAAGTCCACATTAGACTGCCAAACATTGCATACTGTGGTCCAACTAAAACTGATTGTCATATCAATTGAATGTCTTTTGATAGGCCCTACCGGTGAAACTGTGCAGTATTTATTTAATAAAACAAACTATTTCTGGAGCCGTCAACTATATCACAGTCTTTGTCAGCTAATGGGGTCTGCTCAGTTGTCATGGAGATCGAATAGATATTGGACAATAAAAAGATAAGTCAGGAGGAATAAACATAACTCAAAGGGAAACATTGTTGTGGTGATTCTTTACTAAAGATACATTGAGCTACTAGGTTATCTAAAAATTTATTTAAATAGTCACTTGAGCACTTATTCAATAATGAAGCACGTTGATGTTACTTGAGTATTTTCATTGTATGCTGCTTTAGACTTCTGCACTTCTTCTTACACTACATTTAAGATGAAACCAATGTACTTTCTAGTATGTGCAACAGTTATTTGGCAGATTATGATTTTAAATATATAATTTTAAATATATAATTGATGAGTTGTTATAATTTGATGATTTGTTTTAAATGAAACTACAAAATCAGGTTAAATTAGCTCCACCCAGACCAGCTACAATATTAAAAGGTATGATAATGTATAATTTATAATAATGCATCAACATAAGGTCCTGCTGCTGATGGCCTGATACAATAAACTTACAAATGAATGGCTTTAAAACATCAAAGAAAGAGCAAGACAGAGAAAAAAGGAACCTAAGTACCCAATTAAGTGTGCAGGAGATACAGGTCTACATGCCTTATTGGTGAAATAAAGAAATGGAGTATTTTTACATTAAGGTAATGCTTCATCAAACTTGAGTCCAATGGTGGAAAGTAACATTGAATATAATGTAATTTACTCAGGTATAATCATCAAGTACTAATTTAAGGTACTTTTTGTTCCTTCTCAACTCCATGACATTTCAGAGGGGAATTATTGCATGCTAGTGCAAAAAATAGCAATACCCCTACAACTTGTTAACAGCACCTTTACTTCAGTAAAGGATCTGAATTCTACTTTCCCCACCGAATTTTGACCATAAAATAATAATGCAATCTTAAATGTTTCCTAAAAATAGCCTGCATCACTGACAGAAGTCCCTTTGAAGTAAAGTGACACTGCGCATGCGCGCTGCATCTCCCCACACCCTCTCCTCTTGTCGCCTGGGTAACGGTAAAGGGGGGCTCGGCTCGGAGAGAGGTACTATAATCACATGACCGCTGCTCATCTCTCTGTGTTTGGATATAACACCATCATCTCCTCTTGGACCCACAGCGAGAATCCCTCAGCAGTCAACTAAAAGCAGATTTACGGTGAAAGTGAACGGGAGTCGGTGAGTGTGACCGCCCTTTGGTACCGTTAGTGTGCAGCGGCTAGCAGCTAACGCGGAGCTGCCGTTAGCTGTTATCATCCAGCATGACTGCAGACAATGGAGGTCGACACTGTGATGGAGCTAACCTCGTGTGTTGTATTAAACCAGAAACAATATGGTCAGCATTATGCAGCCACAGTGTGGGTGGACATTACCCGCGAATTGCGTGGCGACGTATGACGACAGTAACGGTTTTTAGAGGGCCAAATAACGTGTCGTAGATTTCATTTCAGAAGCAGCTTTTGTATGTTTCACCCTAAAACAAGTGTGATTTGCTTGCAGTATGTAACACACCATTAATGCTGAAATAATTATGTTGTCTCATTATCTGTGACTGTGTATGGAGGCAGAGAGGGGGCAGAGCTACATGAATCAAAGTGACAGCCCCTGCCTCAGTGTCAGTGACCTGTATCATCTGTACTGTGTGTCTTCCATTGTGGATGCACTGACTTTAAGCATGGCAGCAGGCAGATCCATGTGTGCAGCCTGCAGCACTGAGGTGATCTTCATGCCTGTTACTGTTACCATCTGCCTGCACCGCTTGCTTCTTGTAAAGCAGGGAGGATGCTTAATGTGCTTTGCCGGGGGCCAGGGGCCAGTTAATAAACAAACATACATAATGGTTATTAGATCAAATTCCTTCAGGTATCCATAACTCATGTTTATTTGAAATGATTTATCCTACAATTAGCCTAATGACTACATTAACCTGACACACTGGTGCATCATAGACCTAAATGACAGATACATAATACAGTTGACATATTTAAAAGATGTAACTGCATTTGAACTGCATTACACTCAAATCAGCTCATATGTACAGTATACCAATGTATCGTTCTAGCTCTCCAGCGTGCAGAGAAAATACCTCTCTTATGAAGTTAGGGGTTAGCTAGATGTGTTGCTAGATGGACATGGAAACATAATTTTTCTGCCATTTGGTTGAACGCACCCTTTAAGACTACAACCCATTTCTTTAATGTAGAACAAGTCAAAGGAGGGAGCGGCTTCAGATCGCCCTCTGACCTACTTCCTATTGCAGCAGTGTTATCATTGGCTACAATTTAATATATATCCTCAATTTCTTTTATTCTCTAGACATGTCAGACGTAGTTCCTCCAGAAGTGAGACCCAAACCAGCTGTCCCCGCCAAGCCCCCAAATGTGGGAGCTCCTTCCCCCTCCAGCCCCTTCCCACCCCAGGGCCCGGGTATCGGAGGAGGCGGCAGCGTTTCAGGGCTTCCTCCAAGCGCCATTCCTGTCCCCATTGTGAATCACGGCCATAGTGTGGGTCATAATATTGGTCATGGTGTGGGCCACGTTGCGGGCCATGTCGGAGGTCACACTGCCGCACACAACGGAGGCCACGGTCACGGAGGGTCCCACAGCTCGGGCGGGGGATCCACTCTGCTGGGATACATTGGTATTGACACCATCATTGAGCAGATGAGGAAGAAAACCATGAAGACAGGCTTTGACTTTAACATCATGGTTGTTGGTAAGTCACAGAATGAATAGAAAGCTCAAATGTTATGAATCTTTTTTACACATTGTCCCATTCTAGGAGAAAAGCAAGTAACCTACATTCCTCCATTATATTTAGACATTTTCTGCCTTTCTTCTTCCATGATTTAACCTCCTCTTTGGCCTTTCCCCTATTATCTCAGGTCACAGCGGTCTTGGAAAGTCAACTCTGGTGAACACCCTGTTTAAGTCCCAGGTGAGCAGGAGGAGCGCAGGGTGGGCTCGTGATGAGAAGATCCCCAAAACTGTAGAGATCAAAGCAGTGTCTCATGGTGAGTACAGGAGAGAGCTTTTGTTCTTTCTTTAGAGCCAGACATTTATAGAAGCTTTTAATTTGATAGAGATCTTTGACCGAGTTTTTCGTCCCCACATAACCTACTTACAGTCACCCTGACAGCTGCCAAGTCAGCCTGCCATTTATTTTAGATGAGTTTGGATGTGAAGGCCAACTTCTGTGCCTTCTGCAGGTACTTTATAGCTTTGATGATTTGATTACGGTAGTGGTCACAGCAAGTGCTTCCTTCAAAGGTACTGAAAATGAAGTTTCCTTTGGACACATTGCTACAATATGTCCCACTGTGTGAGAGCGTAGAGGTCAGACAGAGTTTGGTCTTGTCTAAAGCAAGGCAAGAAGTATGGTGTGAAACACACACCTACGCTGCCTCTGAATCTGCTCATCACGATGGCAAACAGCTCTGCTCCAAGTGCAAGAGGTTTAACACTCTATGTGTCGGAGTGTGGACTGAACTGACACCACGGTTTAATGGGCTAATTTTCAGAGGATTGGCTTAATAATACAAAAAAGGCTTTGCTGTCTAAGGGTTTGAATTGGGAGAAGAAAGCTTATTGAACACTTTGTATTGTTCAACATGTCCTCCATGGGGGATGAAAGGCAGCAATATTAAGCCGTATGCAAAGGAAAAGGCACTTAAACGGCATTTATTTAGGTCATAAACATCAATTTATTTGTTCTCACATATCAAAAATGGTCAGAGAAATTCAGAAAAATGTAATAAATGATCAGCCTGATGTGGTGAACAAATCACTGACAGATGACAAAACGTTGTTTAAGGATCAGCTGAATAGATTTCAGTAATAATCTGGGATGGGAAATTCTACTATTTCTTAGTTTTTCTTATGCTGTGTTTATGTTTCAGTTCAAACAGGCTGGATTTGCAGAATTGTATTGTGCCCGCGGTATGAAACAGGGCTTTGAAAGGTGATTAGTAAGAAAGGAAACCAAATCTAAAAGATTAAGGCAGGAAGTTACATGACAAATGTTTTTGAGTCATCAGCAAGTACAGACTGTTCCTCACACGTATGGATTTCTACTGGATCGCTGACAGCTTTTACTCCACACATATTCATCAATTATATAAGTGTAATGTCTGGGACTTTGAGGAAGTGTTTTCTGTGACACAGTGCTTGTGGACAGACATGTTGATTTTAATCCTAGATATTATTCTAACACATATACTGTGTACTTGTAGTTGGTAAAAAAAATCCAATCTGCTCAAATATGAGAGATTATAGTAAGACATTATATACTTAATGGTTCCTTAAAGGTACAGATCACCTCATTAGAAGTTTTCATCCATAACCATGGGAACAACACTTTCAGATCAGACACTGTCTGGTGTAGACAGTGTCTGATCTGAAAGTGTTGTTCCCATGGTAATAATGAATGACCCCTGCTGACACAAAGAGGTAAACATGAATTTGTGGTTTGCTTACAATGTATCACAGCCAGGAAACAGACGTGTTTCACTCAATACTGAGTTTCTGTCATACAATATTCATGATGTGATATTCTTCCACAATACACAAGCTCTCCTAAAATAAACCAGACTGAGCAACATAAATCAGCCATGATTTATGATTTCAAACAGATATCATAATTACCTATAATACAGTGCAGATTATTGCTATGTAAAGCCACAGTGTATAGTATTAAAACAAATCTGACTTTAGCGCCCCTCCCCCAGTGTTAGTATCAAATCCTTGGCTGTTGCTGACAGCTCTGCATGCTCTTTATGAAATCGGTCGGGGACTCTTCAGTATGAGCAGTCTGCCGTACTGAGCTCATTATGGCATCTAGGACAGGAGAAGCAGGGAGGGTTCCTTCAAAAATGTATTCGGATTCAATCAATGATTACCTGTCAAAACATGTAGTCAGCCACATAGTAAACTTATCACGATATCAAAGTAATATAACTTTATCACTGTCCTTTCGTCAACCTAATACCTTAATACAGTATATGCAAAACGAAGAGAAAAGTTCTGAAATATCTCATTAATAATATCATTATTTTGTCTGTAAGGCAGAAAACAACATCTCAGTGCCGAGATAGTTCTGCCTTCCAGCTGTGACAGTTCTGTCCTCTTTCAAGGACTCAAGTCATTTGGCACATTAGTGTTGCTGGATATTAACTTTGAGCAGCAGCAGAACACAATACATTTAATTAAATTAACCTACATGCGCTTTACCAGGTTTCTCTTGTATTATGTTTACTGGACCAGAAATGTGAAGCGATTTTCTCAATTCCTAGGAAACTATCTTTTCACGCTTGATGCCTTTTGGCAAAAAGAATAATCTTCAGCAACTGGAAAAACATTCTGCTTTGCAATGACTGGCGCTGTACTGTGATACCGTGCTGTTCCCCTCTTCTGCTTTACATACTAAATAATGTTTAAATTACCGTATACGCCATCAAGTCAGACTTGACAGTGTTTTAATGTCAAGTCAAAGTCAACTAATGTGTGGGAATATGAGATTGGTAGAATATAATTTCTTATTTGAATAGGTGTTTTAAATTAGAATCCTTCTCATAATCCCAATTTACACTATTTGTATCCGAAGTTACCTTTTTGTCTGTATCCTATTACATAAAGCCGTTCCATATATTCTGTCGTGTACCTCCCTAAAGATTTTCCAGCACCAGGGAAGCAGCAGGGATATGTCAAACCGTACAGAGCTCGGGGTTTGGTGCTACAGTTTGACATGATCCTGCACACATCGCCTGCAGTAGACAGTGACCTGACATCATTATGCGCTTGCCAGAGAGAGACGTTGCCAGAGAGACACAGCTGATGTGATAGAAATATCTCGATCAGATCATTGTTTGCTGTTTTCTAGCTTGAATGCTGTTGTCAGTTTTTTCTAAACTACGAATCGGTTCAATATGTTGAAATAATACACACCAGTTGCATTTACTGAATTCCACATACAAAGCATTCATTTCTTTGTGTCTTTGTTTTTTTTTAAAGTCCTTGAGGAGGGTGGTGTGAAGATGAAGCTGACAGTCGTCGACACTCCAGGCTTTGGAGACCAAATCAATAACGACAACTGGTGGGTTTTCTGAACTCCTTCTATATCATTTTAACCTTGTAAATATCATCATTACTGCCTTCATTTTCCTTTTCACCTCACAAAATGCGACAATGCATTTAGTTCCCCCAAAACTATATTAAGAATGTTAATACTCAAGTTAAGCCTTCTTCTCTTTTCTTGCTCAAGTAATCTTGTTCTCTCAAGCTGACCTCTTCTGCCGTGTCCACAGCTGGGAGCCCATTTCCAAATACATCAATGAGCAGTATGAGAAGTTCCTAAAGGAGGAGGTCAACATCACCAGAAAGAAGCGCATCCCTGACACCAGGGTGCACTGCTGTCTGTTCTTCATTACTCCGACTGGACGCTCGTGAGTTCAACTTTCTTAACCAGACAATAAAGTCATCGCTGAATACATTTTAAAGTATCTGATCCAAAAAGTATTTTTAAGGTAATCTAACGGCAAATAAAGCAGCAACAGGATTTTTGGTCAATTAAAGCACTGTAACACTGCATATCAACACTAACCTATCCACACCTTTATATAAGGCTGTAATACATGGTGCAATACCACTCATCATCTAGTCTAATCAACGTTCACACACAGTCACACAACGATAGCCCTGCCTTCAAAAGCACAGCAGAACAAATCACACGGCGCAGAACAATTGGACATGCCAGAAACCTGGAATCGAAGTGTACGACCAGCTCTACCTCTAGCCAAAGCCTCAAATCTAGAGAGCTCATTTATATTACAAACAACACTCTCTCCTCTAAACACCTCACAATTAGCTGCTGACATCTGTGAAATTGCTATTTAATGGGTAAATGGTTCCAGTCTTCTGTGTATTACAGCCAGTGTATCAGATCCTTTTTAACAGGAGTAATTGAGACGGACAGGATGTTTTGTATGCAGGCAAACAAGAACTGGGACACAACCTTTGTTCAATGATAAGCCCACTTTTCAAATGTCAGCTAGGGAAAGGTAGATGTATAAAACATGACAAATATATCCTTTTGCCTTTTGTACTATGTTATCCTGATCCTGTTGTTAATGTCCTTTGGGAAATCACTGCTCCTAAATCTACCTGTTAACTCACTCTCCTTCTCTGTCTTTACGTCCCAGTCTCCGTCCACTCGACCTTGAGTTCATGAAGCGCTTGAGTCACTCGGTCAACATAATTCCTGTGATTGCGAAATCTGACTCAATGACCATTGAGGAGAGACAGGAGTTCAAACAGCGGGTGAGTTGCTATGGAATAAATTGTTTGTATTTATATGTCAAAGTGAATGCCTATAGTATTCAAAAAAATGTAAAAGATATAAAGTCCCTTTCTATGAAACTGTTTCTTCACTTCAGAGACAGGTTTATTTTTCAAAAATGTCATGATCAGTGCTGGGCATCAGGATAAGAAATACTCTAAATAAGTTTTAAATATATATATATATCAATATAATATTATTGGGATAATCGTAAGTATCCTCAAATCCATCCTGACTGTCCAATAATCTGTAGACTGCGTGCTTATCTGTAGACTTGCCCCCAAGTCGTTAAAAAGACACTGCAAGGGTTATAAAAAACTTTAGGTCTAACTTTGAAAAGTGTTGCTCAGATATCCTTGGAGAAAAGAAATTGCATAAAAAATGTGCCATAACAACATTGCATATTCCATTTATTTCCACTTTCCGAATTTTATCCCTTACAATGTTTAAAAAACACAAAAACTGAATTATTTTCGTTTGACTTTGTGCTCAGTGTAATAGGTTTCCTTCACAGTTTGGGATACGTCAATGATTAGTAACCAAGTTGATGTTGATCTTTTGCACCTACTGGAAACCTGGAAAATATAAAAGCAAATTTTTTTAAGGTTAGAGTTAGCGCTATTAGCTGATATTGGATTATTTATAACAACCCTATATAGAGTGATTGAAGATTTGAAGACAGGCTCACAGGAAGATGTTTAACAGATGTGTGTTTCCTGGCTGTAGGTAAGGAAGGAGCTGGAGATGGCTGGGATTGAGTTTTACCCACAAAAAGAGTTTGATGAGGACATGGAGGACAAGAGTGACAATGATAAGATCAGAGTAAGTGCTTCAGTTCTTTCTGTCACACTCACACACAATTATCCAAGAAGTTAACTTTCCCACTCAGTTGACCAACTCACTCTCATTCTCTCACACACTGCGCCATTTAACTGAAGGTCGGGGCACTGGGGCGTGATGTGTATTTGTTTTGACTCATAAACTTTGTGCAGATCTCTTCCATACACTGAACCGTGTTGAAATGTCTCTGTCCATAGGAGGCGATGCCCTTTGCTGTAGTGGGCAGCGACAAAGAATATCCAGTGAATAACAAACGAGTTCTGGGGAGGAAGACAGCGTGGGGCATAGTAGAAGGTGGGTGATATGACCTTTCTTAATAGGCAACATTTACTATCATAATATTTAGAAATGTTATTAATGGTGTCATATGACCTTTAATTCTATCTGTGTTTTTTGTTGCAGTTGAAAACCCCAATCATTGTGAGTTTGCTCAACTGAGGGATTTCCTGATCAGGTAAATCAGTCTTTTATATGTATTATTGAAATCCCGACACAATGCAAGAAACTGGACTTAGGGAGAAATTAGAGACAATAGGAGATATAATGTTATGGTCCATAATAAAGTATCTTAAAGACATGGTTTTGACTAAGGCTCAAATAATTATTCGGTATATAAAGCTTAAGGTAAAGTCTTCAAAAATATCAACATCTAAGAGGTTGTGACTAGGACTTGTTTGGGTATATAAATTATTACAATTATAAATCGATTACCAAAAATAGTTGCTGACTTTGTTTCTGACGATCGACTTATCGATTGATCAACAAATAATTTCAGCTGTGAGACATAATGTTGCAAAAATAAGCATATTTACTTGTATATATTCTGCATGATTATTCTTTGCTGCTAATGGTATACTTGTACATGTAATATTGGCAAATCTCTTTGGTTCAGATTGCTTCATGGGTCCAGTCATGCTTTTGCAGTGGGCATAATGTTAAGATCACTAGACGAAGAGTAACAGTTTACTCTGTGTTCCTGTACCTCTCTTCTCAGGTCTCACCTCCAGGATTTGAAGGAGGTCACTCACAACATTCACTATGAAACCTATCGTGCCAAGAGACTGAACGCGAACGGAGGTCTCCACCCCATTTCCTCCAATGACACCCAGGAAAGCAACCTGTAGTCAGTCAGCGTGAGACAGATGGGATGAACCTACATACAAATATTGTTATCATCGTCACTGTGGCATTGCTGCATGCTTGAAAAATTGGTGTCGTTCATTCATGTAATCTCTTCCGATTCCTAACTCCACCCATCGTCTTCTACACTTTCTCCCCAACAAACACATATCAAACACCTCTGATTTCATTACAAAGTCATTCCTATGAACATTTGGATGAAAGGGGGGGCAGTCCAAAAACAGATAACTTAGTGCCATTATAAAATTAACAATTATTGACTGCCAATGCCTTGTAATTTGTTATCATACGGGTTGTATAAGATTAGAAAGTGCCACATTATTTTATGAATGAGAGGCACATTTTTAAGTTTTAGTAGTGTGAAGCAACCAATGTCTGATTTAGACAAATTAAATGATTTTCTCAAAATATTTAAACAATATATAAAGTATAGAACAGAGCAGTAGTTTACATGGATTTGGGAAGACTTGCCCTTTTTTAACAGTTAATTGGACAACGTGCATCTCATTTTAATACCAATCTAAAAGTCTCTGAAACCACACACCTTTGCTCATGTTTTTAGTTGTTTGTCTCTGTAGATTGAATGCATTTTGCTCTTCCCCATTCCCACTGGCCATTCATTAAAATGATATTGGCCCAAAATAAAAATGAAAGAGTTATAAGTATACCTGATGTTTGGTAAACAGAAAACATTTGAAATATTATTAAATATTATTATTATTATTATTATTATTATTATGTGTTGCAAAGATTTTTGTAAACATTGCAGAGCTCTGTACTGTGACCAGTATTTGTGTCAATGCCATTTTAAAATCAAATTCATATTGTTCACCACTAGGGGGCATCACTCTTCCATGTAAAATGAGTGACTGCTGAGATTATTATTTTATTTCGTACACAGTCCAGAGTTATTTCCTGATGAAGTTTATAGAGTGTTAATCCTCCACTCTCAGTGAAAACTAATACATCTCTCCAGATCAGGTTTACAAATAATTTAACATTTTCTCCCGAATGGTCTGTGCTCAAAGTGTGGGCGCAATTATTCCAAATGAATTAATTTAACATGTTTACCAAGTTTTCTTCACAAATTCAACATTTATACTGTTCTGTCATGCATTGCCTGCAGTACAGTACAACAATGCCAAAACTACAACAAATTAAATATTTTGATATTTGTCAAACTCTTTTTGTTTTAAGCTTTATTATCATTTTAAATGACCATACACTTTTGTGCGATTTTGATGTGTGACTTCTGCAACAAACTGATAATAGTTGTCTGTGGTTTTAGTGCAGTGGAAGATTTCAAGCAGAAATTTGAAAGTGTTAATGTGTGCATGCTTGTGTCCATATTGCCTCACATATCACTGCAACTTTACATAAACTTATCAAATATTCCTGAGTGTGTGATGAGGTCTTAACTACTGGTAACTAAACTAATAAACCGCTATCCGTAATTTATTTAATAACCTCTTTTTTCAAAGTTGCTGTGACACATTGATATTGATAAAAAAGTTCAGTGTTATATTGAGGTATTTATACATTAATGTCTTATTATTGTAATTTATTCTTTATTTAATAAAAGCACATTCCCATGTTTTTTTTTTTTTAAAGCTGTTTTCATTCATTTCTCAAATATTAATACAGAATTTCTTTAGTACATGTATTTTATATTATTTTTTATACAGAAGTAGTAGTAGCTATAGAATACCTCACTGAAGAGCCACGATATTGGAATACGGTTACATGAACCAGTAGCGGACAGATTGGGTTTTAGTTCATCTAACTCAGGGGTGGGCATTTTACGGCCCGCGGGCCACATCCGGCCCGTTGGCCGGCCTTGGCCGGCCCGTGTGAGGTTGATCATAAATTACAACAAAATGAAAAAAAACAGCAACCTTTTCAAAATAAAAGCAACACAGCTGTATTGCTTGCATGGCGTAAATACTTTTCTAACTGTGTTGCTTTTATTTTGAAAAGGAAGCTGCTGTTTTTTTTATTTATTTACGTAAACGCTTATGCCGTAACAGCTACGAGTGATGCTGGCCGGCTAGTCCTCGAAATGTCCGCTAAGGGAAAAAAAAGAAAGATCGATACTGAATGCCGCATTTTCAACAAGACATGGACCGCTAAGTATTTATTTACAGAAGTGAAAGGTAAAGCTGTGTGTTTAGTTTGTGGTGCGCAGGTCGCTGTGTTCAAGGAGTACAATTTGAGTCGCCACTATGCTACCAAACACGCAGATAAATACAAGAACCTGTCTGAGGAAGAGCGGGCAAAGGGGTCGGATGCTTTGCTAGCTAAGCTGCAAAGCCAACAACACATTTTCACAAAACATTCCACATCCAGAGATGCAGCTGTCAAGACGAGTTATGTCTTAAAAGTTAACCGTTTTCGGACGAAGAGTTCATTAAGGAGTGTTTGTTGGACACTAATATGCCCGGAGAAAAAGGAGGCATTTGAGAAAGTGCCGCTCTCCCGACGCACTGTTACGAGGAGAATTGAGGACATCGCGGGAAATCTGGAGCTTCAGCTGCAGAACAGAGCGGGTCAACTTTGACTTTTTTTCCTTGGCTTTGGATGAGAGCTGCGATGTACGTGACACTGCCCAGCTACTCATCTTCCTACGTGGGATAACTACAGACTTCAAAATCACGGAGGAGCTGGCAGCCATGCAGTCAATGAAAGGTACAACAACAGGGAGTGATTTGTTCACGGAGGTAAATGCATGTGTGGAAAAGTTGGGACTGAAATGGGACAAGCTGACAGGCGTGACAACGGATGGTTGTCCAAATCTGACAGGGAAAAATGTTGGACTATTGAAGAGAATGCAGGATAAAGTGACAGAAATTAACCCTGAGCAGAAATAGGTATTTTTGCATTGTATTATACATCAGGAAGTGTTGTGTAAGTCAGTGTTAAAAATTAACCATGTTGTTGATGTTGTAACTAAAATAGTTAACTTCATCAGGGCAAGAGCATTGAATCACAGACAGTTTGTTGCACTTTTGGAGGAAAGTGAGACTGAACATCGTGACATACCCTACCATGCAGCTGTCAGGTGGCTCAGCCTGGGCAAAGTGCTGAAAAGAGTATGGGACCTGAGAGAAGAGATTCAAGACTTCTGTGTGAAGAAAGGAAACGACATCCCACAGCTTTCAGATGCAGACTGGATGGCAGACCTTGGTTTTGCTGTAGATGTGACTGCACTAATGAGTGAACTAAATGTCAAACTGCAAGGCAAGGGCCTTTTTGTGCATGACATGTACAGTGCAGTGAAGGCTTTCATGAGAAAGCTGCAGCTTCTCTCAAGCCAAATGGAGGACAACATTCTCACGCACTTGCCAACACTGAAGGAAGCCACACCATCAGCTGATCACCTCCAGAGGTACTCATCCATGTTAGAAGCACTGCATGGTGAGTTTTCAAGGCGATTTAAAGACTTCAAAACAGTTGAGAATGAAATGAACATGATCTTTTCCCCATTTACATGCCATGTGGATGATGCACCCAGTGATGTTCAGCTTGAACTCATTGACCTGCAGTCTGACACACTTCTGTCAGAGCACTTTAGGTCAGTCTCACTGCCTGAGTTTTACTCTTCCCTGAAAGAGGAGAACTTTCCACACATCAGGAGACGTGCTCAGAAGATGATGGTCCTCTTTGGATCTACCTACATATGTGAACAGACATTCTCAGTGATGAAGTTCAACAAATCCAGATACAGATCCTCTATCACTGATGATCACCTCTCAGCTGTCCTTCGCATATCCACCTCAGACATTGAACCAGATTTCCGTGCACTTGTTCAAGCCCAAGACAGACTGGATTTTTCTCACTGAACAAGTAAAATGAACTGAAAAACAAAAATCAAAAGCACTGTAAAACACCTTTTCAGTATTGGTATATTGAGCAGAATTAAGTTCAACTTATTTTTGATTCGGCCCCCCAACACAGCTCGAGTTTCTGAAGTGGCCCCTTGTAAAAAATAATTGCCCACCCCTGATCTAACTTCATTTTGAATTAATTGAAATAATTATACTGCAGTGATCTCACTGATCAACATTGCAGCCTGTGTAAACTCAGATTTCCTATTTTTAAGCTTGTTCTTCTCCAGGTGCACCTCGTTGAAACATTGCAGCACATCTTGGTAGAAGAACTTGATGTAAAAGGAAACAGGAAACACATACAGCCGTAACACACCCAACCTTAAAAAATGAATAAATAGAAAACACCATATTGACGAATCGGGTATGAGCACAGCCAACTACAAATGTACTACAATTAAATTCATGACATTAACAGATGTAAGCCATCCATCTTCTGACTGCCGACAGTCTTGATAAATTCCATTCTGGTTTAATGTCAAATTACAGGTGGGTGTCGTCACAGGTCGCTAAGCTCTGGTGATGATCCACCAGCTACACTTTGGCTTTTCAGAAACCTATGGGTCCCATTAGGAAGATACGTCCATGTCTTATGGGTGTGCCTCAGGGTTCTATTTTGGGTCCGTTACATTTGTCTAAGAAACCTGCGCATTTTTGGGCAGATTATTATGGCGCATTTCCACTACACGGTCGGCCTCGGCCACACTCGGTACGGCTCGGTACGGCTTGGCCGCGTTGGGCCTTAACAGGGCCGACTCACTTCATGCTGCGCTTCCATTACAGTTTAGGAACTGGGTAGTAACGCAGTGTAGGCGGAGCCGTGACGTCATCTTCAATGAGAAATCCAGAAACACAACACAGCCGTTAGCTGTGAGCACTCAGAGCTCACAGCTCCTTATATATGTTCAGAAACTCGACAAAAGTTAAACAAGTACACACCACAGACTGCCTGTGTCATGGTGAATACAGTCGCTGCTTAATTTATGTCTGTATAGGCCGTTGTTGTGAGTGTGGACGGTCGGGGCATATACTGCGTTAGCTTAGCCAATCTCCATCTAGAAAAACACGAATTTTAAAAGGTTTTTCGCCTGCCGTCTGTCTGCAGACTTGACAAAGCATTAATTCATGGTTTTTACTAACCGGTATCAGTATGTTGTTACTTCGGCATCATTTTGAAACGTGTATTACAATTAAATCACGGTCAAATATGTCCATCTTGTTGTAGTTCTAGCCCTCTTGCCAGCGCTCCTCTCTCTAGTTTAGCATACTCAGCCCGACTCAGCCCTGTTTGTTGGCCCCGATAGAACCACAATTTTCTAGGGCCAGAAAAGAGGGGAAAAAGTGGCCCCGCGCCGTGCCGCGCCGGAACGAGGCCTAGTGGAAGCACAACCAAAAAAGGGGACGGCACGACACGGCACGCTTAAAGCGAGCTACGCGCTGCAATGGAAATGCGCCATTAGACACTTTATTAATTACCTTTCAAGGGGTCATTATCAGGCCTTGACCTTACACTCACTGTCACTCAGTTATCTGCTATGTGCTCATTAAATAGCCATAGTATATCAGATTCACAAGCATTTTTTCTGAATCAGCCATTTTCTTTTTATGATGAACTGTTTGGATGTACTGATTATGACCTCGAGACTTGTATAGACAAAATGTTGTTAAATTGTTATATATTTGTCTCAATAAACGTTTAAAAAAAACAGCTTTTTCTAAATTATCCACTCATACATAGAAATCGAAATGTTGCACACTGTAGATTAAAGATGTAAACATCTTTTGTAAATGGGAGATAACGGAAAATATGTTTTTGCAAAGGTTTTGTAAAACATTCAGCAAATTTTTATCTACACAAAAAACATTCATCATGAGAGGAAGACACCTATTGTTTATACTACTCCTGTTTTCTCATTAAGTAAATCTTAGCAAAAAAAAACTATTAATATTGATAGGCAGTGTTAAACCTTACCTGGTTACTTACTAAACAGTAATTACACTTACTGGTCAGAAGGTGGCACAACTACACACCAGGACGTGGTAAGTAACACCTATCATTTTTTTGTCACCACTCCTTCAAGCTCCTTTTTATTCAGTTGTCTGCTTTGTTTACTCCATGGGTGTCCAAACTACGGCCCGGGGGCCAAATGCGGCCCGCAGGCCATTTTTAATTGGCCCTAAGCTAATTCAAAAAGTACAATGCCATTCATTAAAGTTTACAAAATGTTCTAACAAATTTAAGTTGATAAAAAAAAAGCCTAATAACTTATTTCCGTAACCAGCTCGAAATATACCCTTCATATTTCCTCTTATTATGAGCAATCCGAGGCTTCTGATTTAAGGAATGAGCTGCAAACCAAATAAATTAAACCCTCTGGAGAGCTGTGATGTAGGCTGTTTTTTCTTAAAGCATATTCAAGTATAAAGCATAATTTGCCTACATTTGATTGATTTTGCTAACTTAGAACTCAATTTATGAGGCAGTATACCTCTCCTCTAGTAAGTGGCCCAGCCCTTCGTATGTTTTTCTATATGTGGGCCTCGGAGAAAAAAGTTTGGAGACCCCTGGTTTACTCTATAGCAGGGGTGCCCACACTTGTTCAGCTTGGGAGCTACTTTTAAATTGACCAAGCCCAAAAGATCTACCTACCTGCCCAATCTGTGTTGCGAGCGTGCGGGGCGGGGGGGGGGGGGTAAACTGTGGCGCGC